ATTTAAATTTCATTAGCCTACACTACACTTGTTACTAAACTAGCTGATCTTCTAATTAGGTTGAACATTAAAATTAGGAAATTTATGATATTTATATTGGATATGAACATAATACAAATCTTTAATGATTTAATTAGTGCGCATTTGACCTCCATCTCTCCTGATGAAATTACAGGCACATGAGACTTGTCAACTTACGTTTCAGGGTGACGGGCACAATGGCAGTGCCCCTCAGATCTTTGGGATTTATAGCTCTGAGTGGCACTGCAAGTGTTACGGACAGGCGTGTACCTTACAATCAGGCGCACGACTTGTTCGTCCCGTCACTTAATATTATAAAAAAAAAACCAGATGTCGAAGAGTTCGCCTATGGAGCATGCACACATAAATAATGCCTATTTACTCTCGTCATGAAAAGGCCCATGTTTTTGGCGTTTAGGGAATAAATCTGCAGATAAGGAATTCCACTCTATATAGCCGTTCGCCATATAAACATAGAAGCGTAATGCTTCGTGCGAATCTTTGGAACATCCAGAACATATGGGTGGAACCCTAGTCTACGTGATATATCAAGGCAACTTTACAGCGGTGTTCACGACTTTGGAGATTCGTCTCTACTAAGTTCTGTTTAAATAAAGAATTATTATTATTTTTCCAGGCGACATTCGCTCGCAAGCCCACAGTGCTGCGCAAAGTGTTCCGAGCTTTGACAACGGGTATTAACAGTGGAAAAAGCGAAGAGATGAAATCAAGGGTGTTGCCACACTTGCGTTCAAACCCTCGCCTGACGCAGATGTTTAAATCTTTATTTCCTGACGAGAGGCCTCCGGATAGGTAGGTGGTGTAAACGCTTTTTTTCATTTCGTTTCGTTCTTACGTGTCTTTGAAGCTTTTTTTTAGCAGTAGAGCTCCATGTGAAAGAGTTCGTCCAGGGTGGTACTGCCACCTTACCTATTTCTGCCGACAAGCAGTAATGTCACATGCACATGGGACTTGTCAACTTATGTCTCAAGGTGACGGGCGCAATGGCAGTGCCACTCAGATCTTTGCGATTTAAAGCGCTGAGTGGCACTGCAACTGTTATGGACAGGCGTGTAGCTTACCAACAGGCGCACAACTTGTTCGTCCCGTCACTAGATATTATAAAAAAAAACCTACGGCACTAGGGTAAAGAAATCATTTGAGGCAGCGATACTGACGCTGCGTCAATGACACAAAAAAAATCAAAAATATAAAATCCAAAAACAAAATTAAAGAAACGTTGCTCACTTGTTATCTTGTTAACAGTTATCGTAAATATTTATTTGACTGAATGTCATGTTTTTATTACCATGATATTCATATTTTTTGTAAAAATAGGCCAGTCACTACTTTGATGATAACACCAACTATCACCTAATTGTATCAGTAAAAATAATATTGATACAATTAGTCGAATAAACAGAAAGAAAGTATCCTTCGACACGTGACTAGCACGTGGTAGCCACAGTGAGTCAAGTGTCGCTGGTTCGAGGCTAGTCCAGTCGAAGGAATTTTTCGTTGTTTGTTCGATCTTTGTTTCAATGATAATAAGGTATCGTAAAACCAAAATTATTTTACATGTTTCAAATACGCTCTACATTCTGAATATTTCAAATTTTTGCTGTCTAGTTACGAAAGAGTGTCCCAAAAATCGGAAGTCTATCGGAAGTCATATGGAACACACAAAAAATCTCAATGTTTGCAGTCACAATTAATAAGTAATTTGATTTGTTTTCAGTGCATATGAAAAAGGCACGGATATAATGAACGAGAGCTTTCTGACTGATGACAAGGGCTATGACGTGTGGGAATTCGAGGAGACCAACGATAACATGCGTAAACTAGAGAACAAGGAGTCTCTTGATACAATGGTTAGTATAAGTGTTATACTTGAAAAATACCGCCCACGTCATCGTTCACATAAAACTACAGAAACCGGCAAACACCTTGAGCGTGGAGTAGTGAGGGAAAGTCGGCGCATGTACACTTTCGTGCAAAATTATTATCACATTTTTTATTTTTCTCTTGCTTTTCTGGGAATATGTAAAAAATACAGTGTAATGCGCGCGGCCGTATCCACGATATGACTGTATCTCGATACTGTCAACAGCTATACAATATTTAAGTTAGCGACCTATACACCAAATTCGATATAGAATGTTTAATAACAAAATGTTGCTAGGCAACCAATAATAGCGTTGTAAAGAACCATACCCTTAAACCATACCAATAAATGGACGTCGGGTTCGCGCTAAACAGTGTCCGCACCTATAGGGCGTTAAAATCGCATACAGAGCGTCAATCGCGCAACAGTCTTCATTTGTTCGAATGACAGCGGGGTTGTCAATCATGCAGTACCATATAATAATAACTTGTAAAAATTACCGCAGTAAAGTGTAAAAACAGGATTTTGTGTCATATTTTCACTAAACAAATATATTGTGTTATCATAGTTCTCATTTAAAAGTGTTATTTTGTGCAGTTTTATTGTATTTAATTTATATATAAATGAATCGTAAATATAAATTACAAAAGCACACAAAATAATCAAATAGCTAACTGTCCTTTTTCTACACATTGCATGCTCAAAAGATGGAAAGAGACCCATTACGTCAATTTCAAGTAGCTTATATAAACTTTTTGGTCATTTTCAATTGTTCGAACCACTAGCGATCGAAATATTTAGAACAAAGAAACTATAGAGTCGCTTTGATTTTAATCTTATTTAAAAAAAAAATATTAATGACGTTTAATTCGAGGTAACGAAATAAAATGTCAAATGTTTTTTTTTAGGAAGATTACAAAACTAAACTAAATCGGTTTTCGGAAGTACGGTTTACGCTTAGTTGGAATATCGGTACATTTCTTATAGTACACACTTACTTTCACATTTGTAGTAATATTTGTATGTTTGTATCTGCCCAACTCTTTACTATTTCTTTAAGTGAATTTGCACAACTTTCGACATAATAATATATATTACATATAAAAATTAATTAATATTTACAATAAAGGCTACTCCATTACTCTTGTGTTCAAGTAATTTTCAGTCGAAGCTAAATATGGTGCATTTCGTTAAATTTCCAATAGAAGCTGAATATGGTGTTTTTGGGTCATTAAATTGTTGCAAGCAAAATTAGGCAGTACTGCAATACCGTTAGAATTTAAATTAAATGTTTTAATTTTTTATATTTCGTTACATGTCACTACGTTTGTATAGGTTAACTTCGGACAGTTTTTTCGTGGTTTTTGTATTAGACCCGACGTTCATTTGTTAGTAAGTCAATGTAAAGAACATTATTTTTCAATGCTCATTATTTAGGCTAGCTCTGCCCAAGCCCCATTCGTATAGTTGGAATTTAAATAAGTAAGTACGTAATTTACGTATGTAAAAGTAATACTTACCTAATCATTTATTACAACTTTTGCAAAGTAATAATAATATAATAACGCACACACTCAACATAGCCCCGCACTAGGGAAACCCTGTGTCTCGGGTGCCATGGACACACACATATATACACCCAAACTCACGAGAGAAATAAATGTAGGCCATACAAATATTTCTCCCGGGAATCGGACCTGGGACCTCTGCGTGGCAGCCTTTACCGTTCGGCCACGGAGGCAGTTAAATCATCCGTTGATACGTATAATTTATGAATTAAAATTTTGATACCAATTAATACTTGCTTCTAGATAGTAGATGAAAAGAAACAAAATTGTAAAATTCTATTTTATATTACTTTAGTACATACCTCATCCATCGTCAATTTCCGATTCTGAACTTGAATTGCTACTTAAACTCAAATGTTTAAGTAGCAATTCAAGAAAGCATTAAGGATGACACACTTTTATAATTGGAATCCACACAAATTTGATTCAAAGTGTATGTATTCCATAGCATTTAAGTTTATTTGAAAAGAGCAATCCCTAGAGTTTCTTGCTCGTTCTTCTCAGGGAGGTCAGCGTAGTGAACGAGCAGTAGCTTAAATGTGACGTTTTCAAGTGTAAATTTATTTTACCTATGGAATAAATAATCTTTGACTTAATTAATTACTGGTCATTTTTATGTTGCTTTCAAATTACTAAATAGCAGTTTGAAACATCTATTGAACAAAATTCATCACAGACATGACTTCAAGATTAGAATTATCAATAACCTTTCGGGGAAAAAAACCTGAAATTGTGGTAACTGTAAAACAAACTAAGGTGAAAACCTTGAAAATCATGTTTTTGTTTGTTTACATTTATTCTACATTAAATTTGACTGGAGTATAGTACAGGCTGCTCAGTTTCGCATAGTTCATAAAAATGACAAGTATGTACGTAGAGGCAAAGGGGTAACAAGCTTTAAAATAGTAAAGGCATAAAGGTGTTAAAAATAAAAATATATACATATATTTTCAAGATAGTCAAAGTCACCACGCGCGTCCGCACTGCGCAGATGCGAGAGCCGACTAATTAGCTTGCTAGTATGAATGCGACTTTAGTAGTTTATCTCTAACCAATCACATGCTGCTGTGTTTTCTCAGTACTAGGTCGCTAACTTAATAAGATATAGAACTGTATAGAAATGTCAAATTTAGACTTAACCATGGTACGGTGGTTTCGGTGTTACATAAAAATACAAATACCATTTTGATCGTTGATATTCCTTTCTATATTATGTTTAATAAATGCGTCAATCCCTGTGTTGCGGGATTTTTACGATATTAAAGCCGACCACGAATTATAAAATATCATAACTATTCATAACCATACAAATGTACATTTTCACATTTCAGTATCTTAATGGACGAGTGTTTTTACAACACGGAAGAATGCTGCGATCGGCGCGTGTCACATATCCGTATAGTAAGGAACCCTATCGGGTGCACTCGAAACGGTTAGCCCCGAACCACTGCCACCTCTCCCCACCGGCCACCGACGACGAAAGAGCGTCACCTAAACGACAAAATAAAAACACACCCAAAATTCCGCCTAAAAGAACTAAAAAGCAACTAAAATCACCCACTAAGTCAGTCAAAGATGTAAATGACAATACAAACAAAGAATGTGTTGTAAACAGCCCAAAAAATGTTAGAAAAAAGAATAAGCCTAGCAAAAAAGACGATAAAACTGAAAAAAAGAAAGTCAACGAAAAGTTTAATAAAAAAGACGATGCCACAAAAAATAAAACTAAAGAAACGAATGCGAATATTGAAGTGCAAGAAGTGCCAAATGCAGAAGTGAAAAATGCCAATGGTAATTGGACAAGAGATGAAGACAAAACCATGTTACAAGTGTTAAAAGGCGAAGCAGCATCAGAAGAGATTTTTGTCAAAATAAGCAAAATGCTACCACACAGATCATTGACCGAAATAAAAGAAAGATTCTGTCACGTAATGAATTTGTTACAACAGATGGCTGTAGGAGAAGTAACGTAGTGGTTAGAGATGAGGACTGACTTTTTAATTAGTGTGTAAGAGAAACGTATTTATAATTTTGTATTAAAATAAAATTATTTTACCTTTTGAGATAGTTTTTGATATTTTTGTGTTTCATCTTTCATCCATTACATCTTTGAATTAAATGCGACGCATAACGCCATCATAACGGTCGAAAATACGACACGGTGTAAACTCCTTGCTGGACATTCATATCAAACAAAACTTAATGTCAATAAACACGTCAAAATTTCGGCCGTAAAGACAAAAAATCATGTGATTTACTCGCTGAAAATAATTGTTTTAACATTTTATTTTTTATTTTTGAGACTAATAAAATAATTTTGTAGACATGTATTCCTTGCATGAGAATTACTATCACCGAAAATGTTATTTCGAAAGGGAGCAGGTTCCCACTCAAAGCGTGATGAAGAACAAAATGCAAGTACCGCTTGCACATGTTTACTTCAAGAGCATGAATTGGAACCTTAAAGTGCTAGCGGGCCTAGAGCCTGAAATGAAAGGCGGTGGCCCTGAATGGTACATGCCCCCGGATGAACTCCTCGCTTGCAGAGCTGTATTACACCCTGTACATCACGATGTCCTGAAAAAATTAAGTCACGAAGGCATCTATCTCTATGGACAGGCAGTTTTACAGAAATATTACAAATCCTTACAAAAAGAAAAAGAACAAGCACTACATAAAAACGACCTTAAGTGGAAGAAAGCTATAGAAGACAGTAATCGACGTCAATATGATAAATCTTCTAAGAGTGAAGCTTTTTTTAACTCCTCGAAAATAAAACTCGCGTTCCATGAATTCGAAATGTTATACCGGACGGCCACTACTAATGTAGAAACGTTAATTTTCGATTCAGCAATACAAGAAATAGAAAGAGTCCAAGAGGAGGCATACCAAAAAATGAGGAAAAAGTTTGAAAAATTAGTTCATCAACAAGCTACCATGCTTTACGATAAATACAGTGATATGTTGTTGAGAGAGAAAGTGAGGCTTAAAGGTCAGTTTGTGAAAGATGTGGACACAATACATACAGAGACGGCCAATCAGCTACACGATATCAATGTGGAGAAACACGTGGCTGTAGAGAAACTCAGACAGTATCTCGAGTGTCAGAACTTAGCGTGTCAAATATACGTCGCCCTAAAAGAGCGAGATGCGTGTAAAAAGGAATTGGAACTTTCAAAATACGAGCACGATAAAAAAATTAAAGAAATGACAAGAGAACTTGAAATGAAAACCTTCGAAATCCAACATGAACGAGAGGAAGAAATAAAACGTCGACAGTTTAATGTTATCTGGAGAAATAAAGTATGTCACGTGGTAAAGAAATTCCAAATGTTCGTGGAGTACTGCCTAAAGCTTGTACCGCAGCATGCAGAATTCTTCACAAACATGGAAAAATTAATGCTTTTGCAGTTGAATGAAGCGATTGATAATCCAAGCACAGAGAGCATAATTGAAACAACAATTGAACATCCCGTTTTGATACCAAAGCCACATCCATTCTTCTTATGCTGTGACAGGGGATTCAAGCCGAAGGTCGACGAAACGCTCTGCCCTAACCACTGCACGTCTAGTGCTTCTCAGTTTCCCGTCATAGTAGTCAACAAGAGGTTTCTCTATGCCGCCTGCGACAATTTCCAAATGTATAGTGAGAAAATTAATGACTTCATTGTAGGCAATCGTGGAGATCCCTTCGACTTAGAGGACGACCACGACTATACTTACGACGTACCCTTCAAATACACAGCTGACACTGCAATTAAAGAGTTGAAACTAGAAAGTTCGCTGATGCAAGTGTTACAGCAAGAGGTGGCTAATATCAAAAAAGTACCGCTTGAATGCTGCGTTTGTAAAATACCCAACTGCTTCTGTAGTCCGATACGCCAGTCAAGGGTATCCCTGCCTCCCATGATGCCTGTAACACCAGAGGAACCTCCACCTGAAGGGAAAAAAATAGAACCAAGAAGTGAAGAGTTAAAAGTACACCGTGAACCGAAATGGCAAAGTTACATGGAGTACGTCCTTCCTAAGCGATGTAAATGCTCTAAAAGGGCCAAGAAACATCTCAACGAAAATTTGCCTCCGTATATGAAAAATATGTCCCCTTATGACGTGCCCGACTTGCCTAACTACGAGCCGTGCGACTTAGAAGATATTAAACGATTAGTGAAGCAGACTAGGAGCAATTACCAGAAACAAGAAGTTGTTGATATTCCTGATAAGGAAGTATCTCCCAAGACAAGGGATATGGGTACACAGTGGTCAGACCACGACTTCGATGTCTTATGCACTTGCTTCTCTGAGTCCGAGCTTGCAAAGGTGTTGGATAACGTGGTGAGAGACTCGATGTTGTTTGACCCTGACAAAGTCAGAGAGAGATGCTCCGTAATATGTCTTAGCGCAAGTTCTTCGGACATGGGCAAAACTGCAAGTACGTTCGCAACTGACAGAGCATATTCCCTGAGAAAGCTTTTGAACAAAGATTCTGAATTAGAGCAACTCTTCATGAAGAAATCCTGTGACAAATTATAGAATGGATTCAACCCTATAGAGATAACATAAAAACATTGATATTGAAATCTTGTTATAAATTAAATCACTTATTAACTAAATTTATAGGTAAGCTCAATCAATCAATCAGTAGCGTCAACTCCTCACAAAACGACCACTTATTTTTTGTACAGAGTCGAGAGCAGGTCAAGCTTAAAATTTGAATTCAACTCAGTGCCGTTTACGCTCTAAGATGCCGCTAACTATAAGAGCTGTCCAAAATTACAGTACGAGTTGTGAAAATGCTTTAAATTTAATTAACACATTACATTTTTTTCGGGACGCTCCGGGACGTGTTCTCGTCCGCAATACCGCAAACCTTGAAGACTAAAAAGTCTTCGAGCCGTGCGTATTGCCAGCGATGACCTAAGGCTCTGAGACGTGGTCACTTACTATGGACCTCATAAAAAAGTCACTTAACGAGCTTCAGCGAGAGGTGTTTCTCTACGTGATCGAATCAGAAATTAGGAGATCTGTAGAAGAACGAAAGTCATCGACATAGCTTAGATTTAAGAAGATTAACAAGTTAAAGTGGCAATGGGCAGGGCACATAGCTCGTAAAACTGACGGCCGTTGGTGCAGAAAGGTTCTCGAAAGTGAGACCACGAACCGGAAGGCGTTCAGTCGGACAGCCCTCTACTAGATAGATGGATGACTGGTAAGGGCGGCGGATAACCGATGGATGCATGCCACGTCCGATCGACTAGTCTCGAAATCGTTGGGGGGTGACCGTCAGGATGGCTGGTCGCCTGTCGCATCTAGCACTGAGTGTATATTCAAGAATTGCTACCTTTTCTAAATAATTGCTACCTTTGATGATATATTCTGAGAAATTATAAAAAATAATTGACCAGCCATTCTGACGTCAGGATGGCTTGTCGCCACTTTGTTCAGCATGAAGGGAATATATCAAAGGTAGCAATGATTTAGAAAAGGTAGCAAATAGGTAGCAATTCTTGAATATACTCTCAGCGCCAGGCGACCAGCCATCCTGACGGTCTCGTTGGGGGAGGCCTTCATTCAGCAGTGGACGTCTTCCGGCTGATATGATGATGATTACATTTTTGCATTTCATTGTAGGTCTGTCATGCAAATAATTCGGATTTTGTTTTATTGTCAATATTTTTAGTTGTCATTTTGAGAATTTGATAAGTTATTACGTCCTCGACTCAAACGCGCGCCTCCGAATGGACGCGCGAATTGGCGTCTCCCTTTTCAGTGCCGAAGCGGCTACGAGCGGGTAGATCCATACATCGAAATCGCATACAGACGCTAGACCACGCACTGTGAAAGGTACGGGCGGACCAAGCCAATAGATCTGCTTGCGCGGCGGCGCGCACCCGCGCCCACAGCCGCCGTGACACAGGCGCTGGCGCGCGCGGCCACTGTGAACGCAACGAGCGTCTGCGTATATTTGGTTTACACCTCCGCCACCCTGAATAAGGCCTTAGATTAAATCAGTAAGCGCGCTCTAGTGTGACCATAATCGGGCGTTTGGAATTTGCTAAGTAGGTAAAAAATATTCGTTTTGTCGGTTCTTATCGAAAAAAACAAAATTTAAAGCTGCGGTGTCGCATCGTGCGCTTGCAACCAGAGCGAGTCGTGGCGGGGAGGTGTGTTCACCAACGCTGCGAAATCTTTGCGATGCGGCGGATGTGGACCAGTTCTTAGTCAGTCCGCGTTGTCATAGGTAAAGGGGTTTTACTATCCATGCCATAATAAGCAGATCTATAGATCTATGATTTAGTTCGTTTCAGTCGTCAAAAAGTAGACTATTTTACAGTCCAAGTTAAAATAAGCTTAGGAAATGAAACTATTTTTCCGGATCTAAATCGCGTATATTTCTTTTTTCAAACAAACCAACGTTTCGGACCCTTTACAGGTCCCATGGTCACGGTTGACTGAGGTGGTAAAATCATCAACCAGTTTTAATATTAATGCAAACCACCCTATTTTTTCACTATAGTTGCAAGTTTTTAATTTAAATACCTTATTTTTAATTTTACAAAGGACATTCCAATTTACGCTACATTATGTTTTGCAAATAATTTTATTTTAACAATATATTCATATTGTTTATTAAGTTAAATTTAACATTAATTAATAATGGAAATTAGAATAAATTAGTACATATTACTTAGTCGTTAGTAGTAGTTAAAATAAGCTTATTCCGGCGGCAGCACTATTTTTCAATTTCTAGAACCACAACTCAACTTTTGAACCATGGTGACGCTGAAAATAAGGGACACTGTGATTGCACCCAGGAAAAAATGTAAATTAGTCGGTTCCAGTCGCAAAATTTTAAAGACGAACGGATTTATCATCCTATAGACATCGCTTTTTCCACTAATCACAGGTCCCCAACATGGAGTTCTTCAAAAGACGTGTAAACAAGGTTCTCCGGAGTCGGCAACGCATGGGTGATGCCTCTGGTATTGCTCGTGTCCATGGGCGACAATGACCACCTCCCATCAAGTGGCTTTTCTGCTCGTTTGCCTACTATCTTAAAAAAAAAAAAAAAAAAAAAGGTGGGTTTTTACCACACCGTCACAGACTAGTTGGGATGAGAGGAATTTAATTTCCACTTATCCCTATTAATTATAATAAATTAATTTTTCCAAAGATAGCCCAACATACCATTAGTAGCTTTTTCTTAAAACTTTTTCAAACACGTGGCACTTCTAGGTTTAATAATTTTTAACCGACTTTAAAAAAAGGAGGTTCTCAATACAACTTTTTTGTTTGCATGGTACGCGATTACTCCGATTTGTGAATCGATTTTGATGATTTTTTTATTGGAAACAAGGTGGCCCAGTATTGGTTCCATTTAAATTTGGAGAAAATTTTCCGTCTGTAAGGGTGTTAAACTAGGGGATGCATTGTTTCGCGCACTTTCCGGTAACCGATTTCAATAAGACTTGGCAAATTGATGTAATTCACGAACTTTTGAGCTCGGTTTTTTCCTTTATTTTTTTTCCATCCTCTAAGGTTTTTTCGGATTCGTGGAATTACAAAGTATTAAGTATTTAATTTCAATTACAAATTAAAAACTTGTAATTATTAATTTACAATACTAGCAAATTAGCAAAAACTGATAGTGTTACTTTTTGCATAATGTCATTCGGATTTATCAACTGACATGATACGTGAACGTTTTGAACTCCTGGCTTAAGCCAGGTTAAGAAGTTTCGCTTACGAAACTTCTTGAGAACGGCGAAAAGTTCAATTAATGTTATTAGAAAATCCTATGTCTGTGTTGGCCCTTAACTAAATATTGTTAAAAAAAATGTAGCATTGACTAATAAAAAACACTATTAGGTCTATAAAAATCTTTTATTAAAAAATCACTGCGATAAAGTGTGACGTCGAGCGGGCCAACCCGCCGACGGGTCCTACGCAAGGATCTGGCGAATACAGATAACAATTACTCTAAATCAAATGATCTTACGGGCCCGGCCTACACCGAGCAGTACATTCAAACTTTATTACAACTAAACATAAGCACATCGGAACAGAAACAAATGCAGAATGATTGAAAGTAGAAAATAAATACATTTACATTACAATAGATCGGTGAATTTTCAAATACAGTATATGCCGCCGAAGTCGCGATCCAATAAATACAATATTATATAAATTTGGTTGCCGTGTCGCCCCTCGGATCGTCGCGGGACGTCCAGAGTCCTATACACCCATTCGGATTACTTGATACATCTTAAGTGATAACGTCAGTCCTAGAACTGGCCACGGGTCTCGCCTCAACGCCGAAGTGGAGAGCGTTACGCCGGCGCTAAAGCGGAGACGGGCTGAGACGAGAGGCGCTTAACTGTAGAGGTCGTCGTCGCCACCTTCCTCCTGGAACGTCGGCTGGTCACCACCCGACGTGCCTGTGCCACCCGCCGCGCCGCCACTCGTCGGGAATCTGGAACCGCACGTTGTATATAAGCCTCAATAATTACGCGACAAAACGACCGGCAACATAACACAAAATGGCGGATAGTAATGACAAAATGGCCGTCGTTGGAATTTCCAATGCATGATATAGTGGTTGCATCAATTTTAAAGTAAATATGTGTAAAAATAAAAAAATACAAAAGCAGAATTCCTAGTAATTAATCAAAATTATGTTTCAGTTTAATAATATTTATCATAATAAAACCGAAGCTTTCCCTCGTCATTATTAATAATAAGAAATTTATTTATTTCCACAAAATTTTACAAAAATTACAATTACGATGTTTAGAATGGTCATTCGAAAATTATTTACCTGAAATTGGTGCCGAACCCGCGGCTCTGCTGCAGGGTCTGCGCGAACATCTCGTATTTGCGGATGTCGTTGTCTGACACTGAGCGGCGGGCGAACTTCATCGCCTCTTCGAAGTGAGCGCGACTGATCTCCGGGACAGGGTCCTCCTCGTCCATCTGATATCAAGTTTATAAAATAAACAAACAACAGTCAAAATTGAAAAGTGCTTCTGAAATTCTAAAATACACTTCAGGATAAATATCGCAGAAGTAATTTTCTATGGTACCAATACAGTACATGTTGAACTGAAGGCTATACTTACGTCCATGACGGCGGCGGGCGGCTGCTGCTGCCGAGTACGCTCGCGCTGGATCTCGGCCTCGATGGCCTGTCGGATGGCAAGCTTGCACGCCCGCTGGCAAATCTCTGTCAGATCAGCGCCGCTGAAGCCTTGTGTTACCTAGAGGAAAAAGATCATGTCTTGTGATACGGCTGGGTCACATTTTTATTATTTTACTATCCAGTGGTGGACAACGTCTTCAAATCTTGAAATCAAGTCTTGAAATCGGTTACCGGAAAGTGCGCGAAACTGGATTCATGTCCTAATTTGCTACCAGTAGAGGTGAATATTTTCTTCAAATTTAAATGGGACCACTACTGAGGTACCCTCATTCTAACAAAAAAGAATCATTAAAATCGGTTTACTAATAAAGAAGTTATCGCGTAACATACATAAAAAATACAGTCGAATTGAAAATTTCCTTTTTTTGAACTCTTTTAAAAGGGTTTCCTTATAATCGTCACTCGTGACACGCAAAAGTACCGTCTGGATTTCTTTCTTATTTGTCTAGCTGTCGTTTGGGAAGAAATGAGATAATCCTATGGATAACATGTGAGTAACACTTTGGTAAAAATACTTAGAAAACGTGTGAAGTCCCCAAACAGGTCAGGAGGCATAACGGGCTAAACTCTCTCCTTGGAGAAAATCTGTGTAGGATAATGGGTACCTTGGCGATGTATGAAAGGTCAACATCCTTAGCGATGGGCGACTTGCGCAGGTTGGCGCGCAGGATGGCCTCGCGGGACTTCTCGTCGGGTAGAGGGATATAGATCAGCTGGTCGAGGCGGCCGGGTCGGAGGATGGCCGGGTCGATGATGTCCGGTCGGTTGGTTGCACCTGACAAATGTTTTAGAACTATGTTCACATGTTCTTTTCATTGAAAAAGCTAAATTTACAGGATTAGCATTAACTAAATTAACCCAGTAGTCAGGAAAAACAAAGAGTCGTGCAGAATCAACGAGCAGCGATATACCTACTGTACATATATTATTTCAATGAATAACTATTATAGTTGTTATATTTTTGCTTACAAATAACTTAATCCCTCTCTGAAAACCAGCGCCTTAGGAAATTTTGGCATGTGCTGAGTCAGCGTCTTTTCAATGCTTTGACAATAATCTTATGTTTTTACTTTCGTGTTTAATGTTTGCGTCATATTAGTGAATAAAGTGTTTATTTACCTATCTGTCTACTGCTACAGGACTTGCTTCTGGCGGTCATTCTCGGACTAGTTCATTACGTAATTTCCGTGGCAAGTTTTATTATTTAAGTATTCGAAATGTTTATCCTGCAATATTCGGCAACCTAATAAATTGGCAAAGTGCCGAAATAATGTTTAGTCACAGATGTCCGGATATGAATGCTATAATAATAAGCAAGCAAGCCTGCCCAATATGCTAAACACCTAATTTGAAACGAATGTTCGCCCCACCAACCCCTAATTATTAACATATTAAGGTTAATATTTGCACTGTGTACTGGATTGAAGTGTATCAATACTGATTACATTTGCCTATTTTTGCAATAGGCAAATGTAAAATAATGCAAAATAATATAATAATAACGCAACAGACTCATAGTCCCGCACTAGGGAAACCCAGTATCGCGGGTGCCATGGACACAGTTAAATCAAGAGTAGCCGTGAGTGTGTTCTCACCAATGATGAAGACGTTCTTCTTAGCGCCCATGCCGTCCATCTCGGTAAGGATCTGGTTGATGACACGGTCGGCGGCGCCGCCTGCGTCTGACACCGAGCCACCGCGCGACTTCGCGATCGAGTCCAGCTCGTCGAAGAACAGTACGCACGGAGACGCGGAGCGGGCCTAGTGCAGAACAAATCTTGTTAAAACCAACTCTGCGATTTTATTTCTAGTACAAGAATAAAAAAGCGAGTTTTCGTATTTTTCGGATCTATAGTCCGTCTTTTGAAAATGGAGTAAAACGACAGGTCCTTGAGCAAATGTTATCCGCTTGCAAGCAGTTAAATTATATATCGAGTTCTTAGGTTTTCGCGATTGTTACACAAAGGAAATGAAACTATTTTTCCAGATTTAAATCGCGTATATTTGTTTTTCAAACAAACCAACATTTCGGGCCCTTTACAGGTTCTATATGGTCAATAAGTTAAATTCTATTTATATAATATTATTAAGAAGTTATACATAAAGGGTAAACATAGTTTTACAAGATCGTTTTGTCACATAAAATGATGGTTAAAAATTGTAATATTGACCTTTGATCACGTGAAATAAATTACTATATTCTTTTTGTCTTTGCAAACAAAAAATAATTTTGTTACATTAATTACAGGATAACCTGACACATTGGGCGAAAATATTATTATTATTCGGTAAATAAAACCTTTTTTTTAAACTGTAGATGATTTCAATAAAGCGTTGTCGTGGCAAGCCTACAATATACATAATGACCAATATAAAAAAGGCATAAATCACAAACCTTGTCGAAGATATCTCTGACGTTGGCCTCTGATTCGCCGAACCACATGGTGAGTAGTTCGGGACCCTTTACAGAGATGAAGTTCGCCTGGCACTCGTTAGCGATCGCCTTGGCAAGCAATGTCTTACCTGTGGAAGGTGATAAGAGTTGAAGAGATATTTCCATGTAAATTCTGTGTAAGTTTACTACACTACTATTATTTTGTGATTATTATTTAGAGACTCGAGATAAAGGCCTACGATCACCGCTCTGAGACGTGGTTACTTCAACAAGTGTCCATTGCTATCTAGCAATGGTTGCATTGCTGGATGCCAGTATTTTTAGTAGAGCTCCTTCTTTTTAAAAAAAAAATCTTCATTTAATTTTAGGACTTTTGTTCTAGAGAACACGCCAGTCCTATCATAATTTTATTCTAAATCATTAGAGCTCCTTGTGAAAGAGTTCGTCCAGGGAAATACTGCCACCTTACCTATTTCTGCCGCCAAGCAGGAATGTGCTGCATTTTGGTTTTCAAGGGTGAGGGTGCTGGTGAAATTACATGCATATGGACTTGTCAACTTACGTCTCAGGGTCACCCTGGCGCAGTGGCAGTGCCCCTGAGATCTTTGTGATTTAAAAACTCTGAGTGCACTGCAACTGCCATGGACAGGCGTGTCGCTAAGCACCAGGCGCATGACTTGTTCGTCCCGTCACTTGGTTGAGCAATAAAAAATACTAACCGCAACCAGGCGGTCCATAGAAGAGCACGCCGCGCGAAGGCTGCATGCCGAACTTGAGGAACTTGTCGGGGTGTTCCACAGGGTACTGCACTAGCTCCTGCAGCTCACGTTTCACGTTCTGCAAGCCGCCGATGTCGGTCCACGACACGTTCGGCACTTCTACGACGGTCTCGCGGAGAGCCGATGGCGATGATTTCGTCATCGCGTACTGTGTAACAAATGCAAAGTAAAAAAAACCGTAGGATAGGATGGTCGAGAGTCAGCCAGGTGTACATTACGAACCGCGCCACTAACTCAGAAACGCGATATTGGAACTTGGTGCAAATAACAAAAGGTGAGCTTCTACTATAGGCACCTCTCTCATCCCAGTCGACAGCAAGCTAGCGGCACAGATGACCGGGGGCGTCAATGTTTTTTATTCTTTACCAAAAAAACTAAAAAAAACGCGACAAGAATTTTACGTCGTTCGATTTGTATAAGCAGTAGCTGCATATTAATAGATATAATACATTAGCCATCAATGCAATTTTTATTGAGGTAGTTAAAATAAGCAACGGGTTTTTAGGCACGTTGCTACATAATCTTAATTTTACAAGTGTGGGTATTTCACAATTTTTTGAAAAATACAATATTTTGCTGATGATTGTCATAATCATGTGAGCACCTTTGGTTCATTGTGTTGTGTCCCCAGTTCAATTCCCGGGGGGTGTGCATAGTGAACTATTGCCCATTTTTTGAAAAAAACATGTTTTCAGACTGTCACGACGCAGCAAAATTATCTATAATTCGCCTTAGTTAATAATTAATAACCCTGTCTTTAGATTGCTTTAGGGCGTCAAATACTGAAGTTTGTGTTAAAAGTAAAACATACTCTAAAGTTATCCATGGAGACGGCGAGTGAGTTGAGCACTTCGGCGTCGATCTGGTCGTCCTCGAGGTCGATCAGATCCATCTTCTCACGGATCTGCTGCAGAGCCGCCTCGGAGCACAGCGAGGCCAAATCCGCACCCACATGGCCGTGAGATTCTGCTGCGATCTGGGTACAAACCAAAAACCTTTATAGAGGAACGAACGAACGATTTTATCTCACAATAAAATAGGATTAAGTCAGTTGAATTGGGGATACTGTAGACCAGTTACATTTGGTACCAGTATTGAAGAGTAGATATACATTAAAAGAGAAGTCGATGTAGTGTGGAAAAAAAAAACTGCGCTACACTCACGCTCACAGCTTCACATTACATACGTGAATAAGATCGTAATTTAATACAATTAACAACAAAACAGATATATTTAATTTGCAAAATTGTAAATTGTGACTTTCTTATTTATTATTGTAACAGTCAATCGAGATTCTATCATAAGACATTTGCATGCTATTTGATACATGGTTTGTTTTAGTACTGTTTTCTTTTTCTGTTACGACTTTTGTCATGCCAAGCAAATAAACGAATATTTTTTTTAAACAGCTATTAGTGGAGTTAACCACAGAATAACCTACGGAGGCACCGTAAATCATAGACGACAGAAGTAAATATTTCAAAAAGAACAAAAACACACACATGAACAATTCGCCCGCCAATATTTATAATAAAACAATAATATTACCAATTCAGGACATCGTATTTGCGACATTTACCACCAAGAGGAGACAATTTACCTTTCTCGCTTACACATGTGCATTGCCAATCAACTCTCTCGCAACTCGATGACAATCGAATTGACATGGCAAATAATTTTTGTAGCCGAAACGATACGGAGCGAAGTTGTTTTTTAAGAGTGAATGAGTCATTATTGAGTATGCTGTATTTTATTATATTATAGGAAGAAAACTCGTCGATGGGCAGGGTGCCTTGTCTGACAAAACCATCAGGCGTTTTGTATGGGATAGGCATTGCACAGTCCAGATAAAACAGTCAAGCGATCCGTTTGTTCAAAATTAATGAAATATTACAGTCGTCATAGAAGTGACGATTTGTCTTCACGATCCATTGTTTCAGACTGAATCGATAGTGTATGTTTATGTCGTTAACGATTAACTTGAAAGTCAGGGAATATCGATACGATTATCGTGACAATCGATCGAAACGAGGAATCGTCTGTATATGGGGGCCTTTATTGCAATATACAATGGATCGATGGAAAAATAAACTTCTTAAGGCAATCTGAGGATATTTTTTTTATAATATCAAGTGACGTGACGAACAAGTCGTGCGCCTGATGGTAAGCTACACGTCCGTCCATAACAGTTGCAGTGGCCCGACACCCTAAGATGACAAGTCCCATGTGCCAGTAATTTCACCAGCACCCTTGCCCTTCAAAACCGGAACACTGTAATGCTGACATTACTAATTGGTGGCAAAAATAGGTAAGGTGGCAGTAATTGCGTTGTAAAAACTCTTCGCCATTATCTAAATACCATATATTAGAAATAAGTAGATCAAATAAATAACTCACCTGTTCAAGGTCGACATCATCCCCCAACTTCATGTTCTTAGTATGGATACGGAGGATCTCAAGACGGCCGGTGGCATCGGGGATGCCGATGTCAATCTCGCGGTCAAAGCGGCCGAAACGACGCAGCGCGGGGTCGATCGAGTTAGGTCTGTTTGTCGCCGCCATTACTATCACGTGGGATGATTTCTTCATGCCTGTTAATTACATGTACAGTTAGCTATACGTACGCGGTTCAAGAGGTCTTTTTAACTAAAAACAAATGACAGCGAAGCGCTCATTAAAAACGCTTAAATAGCAACAGCCTTATAGGAAACTTAGTGCCTTATTGAGAACTTTAGTTGCTCTAGAAAAAATATCAACACCATTGAAAACAGAAAAAACGATCTCGAGTTCTTATGTTTTCGCGATTGTTACACATTAGAAACTATGTACGTGTTTTTCTAATTATTAACACAAAGATCGAACACTAAGAAAAATTCCTACGATCCGGCTGGATTCGAACCAGCGTTTTCAGCATTCCTTACATGACCCTCTCCCAACTGAGCTACAGAACGAACCAGTAGATCTAATGAATTTTTTGAAGTGCTTGTTGTAGATCTTTGTTTTTTAGTTTTTAATGACTACTTTTTGGTTTTGGGTTTTTTTTCAAACAGAAGTTTCGGCCCCTTAACAGGTCCCATGGCCTTTTTTATTAAACGACTTTAAAAAAGGAGGAGGTTTTCAATTCGACTGTGTTTTTGTATGTTACGCGATTACTCCCGGCCTTTGTGACCCGATTTTGATGATTATTATTTATTGAAAAGGAGTACTTGGTCACAGAATACACCGATAGCATCATGTGAGACTTCCCATGCATCAAATATATGATTAATCAACTCGACACCAGCGCCGGTTGTAGAGCGATCCCGAGTGAAACCAAATTGTTTAGGAGACATTAAGTTATTACTATAAAAATGTCACACATGTGCATCTGATTTAGAATAATTTTTTCAAATATTTTACTGATAGGTGGTAGTATTGATATAGGTCTGAAATTGGTGTGGTCAGAAATACTACCAGATTTTACTTTGCTTCATGAGGTCAGGAAAGACACCATCATCAACACATTTATTAAAGACACAAGCTAAGGCGCAATACAATCAATTATAGAACTAATTACTCTGACTGAAAGACCATCAAGATCAGCAGTATTTTTTATGTTTATAGACTTAAAGTCTGTAGCAATATCGTTCGGAAATACATGACGGAACCTTAAATTAGTGATACTAACTGCATTATTTTCTTTTAGTAAGGATTCAGCGACGTTGGGAGATGAATTTTACGACTTAGTAGTCAAAATTGGAATGTCAGTAAAAAAAATTTCAAATATTTTAGCAACTTCTGCCTCTGTGTTTACAATTTTGTCATTAAATCTTAGTTGAAAGTCTAAGTTACGAGGTTTGACCCTTCCAGTTTCGCTGTTTATAATATTCGTTTTTACTACATTCGCGCTGCTTTTTATTTTATTATTTATAAACATTGCTTTGGCTGCAATACAAACACGTTTAAACATTTTCGAATATTTCCTAACAAAATCATTAAAACCGTTACTAGTGTTATAAGTCCTTTCATCGTAAAGATCATTATAGCCTTTGTCTACTTTTGTGAATTCCCACAGTCGCCCAATCACTAAATTTCAATGAATTATTAATAGTTATGATTTTAGACCTAAAAACATTATCACGTTCACTTTTCAGTATGTTGAAAACTGAATTATACAATTTATTGGGATCGTTAACGTACGGAATGTCAGTTAGTTTAGGCATTACATTATTTCTATAAGCTTTAAGTCGACCATTATTTATCGGAACACATGTGATTATCCTTTTTTGGCATTTTGTCAACAGTTATATTAAAAGTGGTCAATTGACCGCAGTGATCAGAAGTTAATTTATTTATAATACATTTATTACTAGATATGGCGTTAGTATAAATGTTGTCTAAACAAGTGGCAGTAGTAGAAGTTATTCTAGTAGGCACCAAGAAAAGATTCACAAGACTATAACATTGGAAAAATGATATGAGCCTACTGCTAGCACTGGAATCTTCTAATAAGTTAACATTGAAGTCACCACAAACAGCAATATATTTATTTGGATTATTTAATTTGCCTAAAACTTCATCTAATCTTTTTTCAAATAGTTCGTAAGATGATTGAGGGGGTCTGTACACGCTTAATATAACAAGCCGTTCAAGCTCTATGCAGGATATCTCTATAGTCCGCTCAATAGATATCTGTACGTTCTTTAAATTCTAAATTATTTTAAATAAGAATTAAAGAGCCGCCATGAATAGCTTTTTCTCTGCTGAACGAACTGGCCACCTGGTGATTGTTGAAGCTAAACATGAACTGGTGTTTTGATAGAAACATCAGTTCATCAGATCTGGCCTACCACAACCTTTCAAAAAACAATCTTATTTCAATGTAAGCTTAGAGTAAGCTTATTATAATATTACTCATACGCGTACCATGACAAACCTGTCTACCAAGTAATGTATTATTGCTAAAGTGACTGAAAGAACGAATGATTTCCCGATATTGTCTATTTCTTACTAAAAATAGGAAAGAAATAACGCTATGTGAACTGTATAATGCCATCTGTTTCTTAGAAATAACGCTATGTGAACTGTATAATGCCATCTGTTTCTTTTTTGATGTTCCGAATCGTCCTATCGTAGTATAATGTGAAAGTACTTAGTATTATTTATATTCAGAGAATTTAAACTGCCAAAAAAAGAAAAGTATGTAATAATGAAATCTATTAAAATTACGTTGTTTTAATAATTTTTCCGCATTTTCATGAAGAAAAATAAATAAAACAAGCTGAGTCTCGATTGTCACGTTGTGAATTCGGAACTATGGTCTAGTGTCAATTGTTAGTTTCTCCAAGGAGCATATAGATGGCGCTGTTATAATTTTACGAAATAAACATGGCGTATTTTTATTTAACGAGAAATTATTTCCTATGTGCCATAAAATAAAAAATAAACAAGATATTGAAGAGATATATGTAAATAAATAAGTTCTACTTAACTTTTAATAATTACAAATCAATATTAAGACGATAAAACTGAAAATAATATTGTTTCCATTGCATCCGTGTAACTATTTTAAGATTGCTAAATTTGACATAAGAGCAATATTACTTTAATGTTAAAGTCGTGTTATAGTACGAGCTGAGTGAATGAATAGTCAGTCACAAAGCTGCCAATAAAACATCATAGTTTTAACATTATAATAAGCTTACTTTAAGCGCGTTATGGTACGAAAAGTCAATGTAAGGCCAAAGTAATATTGTTTTAAGAGGTTGTGGTAGGCCGCTTGATCTTGGAAAGTGCAGATAGATAAGAGGAACTCCTGATATCAATGGGTGCATCTAAACAATGACGTGTGACACGTCATAGTTTAAATGATTTACATTAATATAGTTTGTAAGTATTTTGTTACTAACACTACGGATATTTTGTCCGAAATAAAGATTAAAGAATTGAGTTGAATAAACAGTGCACAGCAGCTACCTTATATTTAGGTTCATATGATTGGTTTTGATGCGTTTCAATTATCACTGACAAGATGTCGAGTAACGAATACAGCTCAAGCGGATAAGCAAACTTTTGAGGTTTTTCATAATTATCCATCCGGCTGGAAGGACCAAATGTAAAGGTAGATTAGCGACTCTGTCCTCACAGGATGTTACCTCATGAACACGACGCAGTAACCGTTATCGAGAGTTACACGAGAGTGTTTTCGTAGTTGATGGAATTAAAGAACGTTATAAGTGTAAAAGTAATGTTGTATAATTGTAAACAAAAATTGTAAAATAAAGTATTGCAAATGTTTTAAATATGTAAATGTTAACGTTATTGATGTTTAATAAAATAACTAGAACTAGCACATCCTATTACAGCAAAATAAAACTATAACTAGACAATGTAACCACATTGAACTTTGATTTGCCGCATTGACATATGGTTGTATGGTTATATTTACAATAACTGTAAAAATTTTATTTTATCTCAATTTTCAAGAGCTCTGGATAAAAGATAAACTTTCAATCTATTCAAAAAAGTACTTACCATCCATAAGAGTCAACAACTGCGAGACAATACGACGCTCGACCTCTCCGTGGGTCTTCTCGCGCTTAGGAGCAATGGCATCCAACTCATCGATAAAGATTATAGCAGGGGAGTTCTTGTCCGCCTCTTCAAATGCCTTGCGCAGATTTGATTCCGACTCACCGGCCAGTTTCGACATGATCTCGGGACCGTTGATCAAGAAGAAGAAAGCACCTGTGATCAAATTTATCATTAGGAGGATTGGTTTCTACTCGATAAAACTGGTAAAATTTAAATCATCTTTATTTCATAGGTAAGTAAAGTACACTTGAAATAGTCATATTAATTAAACTCTACTGCTCATTCGTAAGGCATGTTCCTCTCAAAAGAATTAGCAAGAAACTCTAGGAGTTGCTCGTTGTAAATCATCTTTTAAACTTATCTCTCAAAGACTCTTTGGGGTTCAGATTGTAAATTGCCCTAACCGCACGTTTCTGCAGGACAAAGATTCTATGAATATCGACGGCATTACCATAAAGCAAAATGCCGTATGTCATGTTAGGTCACGGAGTAGAATGCTAAATCCATCCCGCGATTGTAAAGCCATATGCTGTTATCGATACCACAACATAATTACCAATAGTTATTACAAGTACGCCTACGCACAGGTTGTGAATAAACAACATCTAAATATAGTTTCGCGTGAGTTGTGAATTAAACAACATCTAAATATTAGTTTCGCGTGGGATATGTATTCCAAGGATTTCAGTTTAAGGTAATATCTAAGCCTCTTAAAGATAACACACACTCATTGATTTTTCATTCATAATTCATTTAATTTTGAAAACAGGTTGTTTAGCAGATGATATCTAACAAAAGAATTACAGAATTATTCTGTTCAGTAAAACATTAGGCGTACAAACATTGTAGTAAGGAATATAGTACATTAATAAGCGTAGAATATTCCTTTGTATTTCCGCATGGACTCAACAAGACTATACTAATTATATTACATTTAATCAATAATGACCAACTTGTATGTACATGGTTCAAAGCATTTCAAGCTTGACACAGAGCCTATGTACATGGCGCATTTTATACGCGCAGATGATGCGATGCGCTGTGTCACACGTATGAATCGCGCATTTTGATAAAAGAGGTAGTTTCAATTGTAGATTCGTTTGTAAATTTCAGTTAGTTTTTGAAATGAAGAAACTACATGAAATTCTAAGTGTAAACTCCAGTGGAGTATATAAGCTTCTTGCTTGCATGCGCAATGTTTGCGATGCGCGATGTTTGCGCGTGCTTTAATCGATTCAGTGCAGATGACGCGCGTTCACGGTGCCGTAAACGCGAGTGGTCAGCGCGTATAAAATACGCCGTGTACATAGGCCATTAAAGTTATTATTATAAATTCAATTCTTTGCAGCTTACTACAAGAACGGCCCAAAGTAGCAAAGTGTCAAGCGAGAAGTATTCTTGACTGTACAATGTGGGGTTTATAAACTACAGGACAAGATTTATATAATATATAATAATCGTCGAAGATAGTGCAAATCCGCGTATGCAGTGTTGGTAAAATCAAACCAAATTTCACAGGAGGGGGACTTAACGTTACTACTTTGTTATTTCAATAGTTACGACTTTAATTTTTGCACAGTAAGTATTAATTATGTTGTCTACGGACTGATAACAATCGGTTACCGTAAATTACGCTAATTTAGTTGCCACGACATTTACGCGGAATTTCATTATCCCCATCGAAACTGTACAAATGTCTAAATACGGCAAAAGATAAGTTGACAACTTTCAGAATAGTGGTTTATCTAAAATACAATTATAGGCCTACCGCTTAACTGAGTCCGTTCCAGAGGTAGCAGTGCGGTGAGGGTGACAGTTTACGTTAACACACCCGGGATATTTCAACAATATTTTTCTGACGATATTCAATAACAAGTTGATTGAAAAAAGTGCCAATTGGCTCGTCTATTCATTTCAATTGTTAATGAAATATTTTTTTATTATTATCGTTTCTCATAACAACAATTGATTGATTTGGTAAGTAAAAAAGTATACTTTGACTCCTCCCGCACTGTGCAACTATCTCAGGAACCGACTCAGTTAAGCGGCAGGTCCATAATTCATCAGGAATATGGCTGCCTGTATACAATAAGGCAGTATTACAGAATATTACGAATTTGAACTACATACAGCGACGGGCAGAGCAACCTAGACTTTGTGAATAAAGCAGCCATCTTCTTACTTCTAATTTTTTTGACATTTTGTACTATTTAACCTTCACAGGTTCGCGGAGTAGCAAATTAGTTTACTTCCATTTTTATTTGGATAAGTTTTGTAATAGGTATAAATGTAACCATTTGTTTTAATTTTTTTGCCGTTATTTTTAATCATTTCGAAATTTCCTAAGAAGATATTGTCCACTCTGTGTACATATATTATTTGGAGTTAGGCAAATATACTCCGCTTATTCCGACCCCTAATGTAATATAATAAGTATTAGGTCACTGTTGTTGATATTGATAGCTTTTTATTATATTATAGATAAATTGTATTTTTAACCGACTTCAAAAAAGGAGGAGGTTCGACTTCGGCTCGGAATTGACTTGTATGCGATTCCGAGCCGAAGTCGTGTGTTATGTTACGCGATAACTCGTATGTAAACCGATTTTGATGATTCGTTTTTTGTTAGAAAGTAGTGGCTCCATTTAAATTTAAGAAAAGAAAGAAAATATCCGGTAATCCGGTTTCGCGCACTTTCCGCTAGCCGATTTTAATAAAACTTAGCAAATAGATGCAATTCCACGAACTTTTGATTTCGGTATTATTACATAAAAAAGTTTCAAAGTTTTATATCTCTTACCAGTTTCATTAGCAACAGCGCGAGCAATCAGAGTCTTCCCTGTACCAGGCGGGCCGTACATGAGGATACCGCGCGGAGGCTTCACGCCAATGGCCTTGAAGAGCGACGGGTGCCGCAACGGCAGTTCCACCATTTCCTTGATTTGAGCAAGTTGCTTGCGGCAGCCGCCGATGTCGTCGTAGCCTACTGCGTTTAGGGCTTCTTCTTCTTCCTGATTTGTAGAGGATTTCATCATTAACATAGATTAAGAGCAAATAAGAAGTAACAAGCATGTTAAGGGTAATAAACCCTACTCTATTAGGCGCCGTCAACCCTGGAAAGTCGGTGCGACCGCATTTCTTCAGTAGGACAAGCGCAATGACAAGGCATAACTAACTTTGTTTATACAGGGTTATTTGTAAAACATTAACAAAGTCGTAGGACTATATTACTATCATCATATTAACAAACAACTTTTGTTCCGTGACTTTTACTAATTCATCAGAATTTACTTTAGTACAAAAATAAAAATATGCCATGTATAATTTCGTTATAAAAATTGTTTTCAATTCCAATTAAATAAATAAATAACGCACACACTCAAAACCTGTATCACGGGTGCCATGGACACACACAGAGACCACCACAAATTACACCCAAACTCACAAGAGGTATAAATGTAGGCCATACAAATATTTCTCCAGGCCCGGGATTCGAACCCGGGACCTCTGCGTGGCAGACCAGCATGGTAACCGTTCGGCCACGGAGGCATATATTTAAATAGATCGCTTTAAACGGTGATATCTCTATGTAAAAGAAAGCGTTAGCGTAAATACAAGTTCGATGCAAAACGCAGAATCGGGGGTGGCAGTCATCGTTACTACCAAACAGATTTAAAAAATGAAGTGATCTTTTGTGAACAAAAGTTGTTATTTATGATGCTAGTAATACAGTTCTGCGAATTATATCGCAGAAATCATGTATGTCGGCGCCCCAAATTAGAAGCAGCATCACAACAGCGCGTGCAAGCCGTGTCAGCACAACGTGCCAGTGCAACGTGCAGCAGCAACGTGACCAACGTCAGCGTTTCCCCCTGTTTGCGTACTTTATAATTTTTGATGGACACTCGGTTTCTAGCATCGAACCTAAGCATTAGCTTTAGCACGTAAGTTTTTTTAATCTTTTAATAAATTAGTTAAAATTAAATTTCGTTTTTTATAAATCGTCCGGCGGCAGCCTACGTAATTTGCGCGGTTTTTAGCATTTTACAAATAACCTAGTATTTACATCTACAATACATAATATTGTTTTCTAAAACTAGATTAAGATTGGTTGTAATTCAGAACTCAGTGCAGTTACGTTGTGAGATGTAATAAATTATTTTTTAAATCAAAGCTCGTTTCATTCGCGCGCAATGCATCCGATCGTTGTAAATTAAAATACGTTGCAAGAATTTAGCGGTATTTATTACGGCTAACGCCTTTGCACTATATTTTTCGCAGAATGTTTAATTTATAGGTAAGGCATTTCCCAAATTTAAAGAAATTGAATCGAGCAGGGACAATTATCTCTCGTAACGGCAATTGTAGACTGCGTATCAGAGCAATCAACGTAAGCAAATAACAACTGATTCTTGTCATTTGCTTACATTACGTACTCGATTATATAACGGAGCAATCTAATACTAATGTTGAATTTGGAATTCAATGAACAATCTACGCAACGAACTCAATACGTCACCCACAAAGCAATTCAGTATATTATGTATTGGGTTGGCCAAGAAGCCTGTGCGATACCAAAGTAAAAAAGATAAACATCAAAAAAGAACTTTGATCAATTATTTTGTACTGATTTTCCAATAGTGCAATGAAACTCTGGACAATATATTTTATAACTGTATATCCTTTAATTTACTACTCCTTAGGCTCATTCATCAACTGCAGGAAACATACATTAAAGATGAAACGTATATCCGGTAACTATCCGGTATCCGGCCTATTTAACATCCGGTATCCGGCTGAATAGTGAAAATAGACCAGATACCAGATGTTTAAAACTAAGAAATATTCATAATCGGTACGCCAAATAAATTAATTTATTGATTAACGATGATGGTAATAGGATAAACAGCAACTACAGGATCATTGAAAATTTTGTTTACTACTTGAAACTGAACTTAGATTACGTTATCTGTAAATTTAGTACTCAAATTTCAATGAAGGCAAAATAGGTAAGTGGTAAAAGTTGGTTCTATTTATTTTCATAAACGAGACCAGCTTCAAATACAGTTTTTCACTATAAACCCTTGCAAAGTTCGTTAAATTTTAAGTACTACTTGTTACTGCCAGGCGACCAAATGAAAGGATCGCGGTCACGATCGATTTGAACAGTTTTCAATTATAATGTGTACCATGTGTACAATAATAAATAAAAGATGTAAGCAGATAAATTACTTTTTGGACAAATCTGGTATCAAGACTTTAGTTACATCACAAACAAATTCATGAAATCAAATTGGAACAAAACAATAACGTATCAAGTGCTAAACTTAATACTTATAACAACTAGAAATTTTAATATAGCCAAAGAATGATGTAATTGCGTTTTTTTCCTTCTCCACCGCGAGAAAGTTGCATTTGGCATAACAAACAAAGAGCATTGATATTAAAATATTGCCAAATTAGCGATTTTTTTCGTTGTTAACATTTTTCGGTTATGTATTGTTTGTATCTTCGAATAAATTAATCGTTTTTATAAAAACCCAATGACCACAACAAATCAAATCGTCAATGTGAAAGTGCAATCAATCACTAATCAATCAATCACAGCGATGCGATCTGTAAACCGGTTGCGATATGTTTATAGCAGTGGGTCAGATATCCGGTGGCCGGATATCCAGCCTAGATGCTCGCGGGATATCCGGTAGCCGGCCAAATGACTATCCATTTCATCTCTAATCTGTGATAAAAATATAATTAAAAAGATCGTGTTGGATTACCGTGTGGTATATGAGGTACAGTAATACAGATATTATTCAGCCAAATAGTTTACTATAAGCTTGTAAGCAGTGTAAAACCTACGTAGAGCTTTCAATGGCGCCACAAGGTTACTATTACGTACTTAAAAAAATCGTATCGACAAGAACTTATTTATTTTACTTGCCACAGCCCAAGTCTTAAAAAACTAAGGTAATAATTTTTCCCCATATTTAATGGTAATACCACTTAGTTGGCAATACCATACAGTGCTGTTCCCGGCATCATCAGGACTTCATAAAGATGCTAAGATGCTAAATACAAATCATGCATCGTGCAAAGCGTTTTGCTTGCACCAATCGTACTAGTAACTTTATATGAACACGTTCAAAGCTATGATAAGTGACGTGTTCCGTGAATCTCAGACAAAATGACGCAATAGTTCTATGAAAAATAAAACACTATCTAATTGTGCACGACGACGCTACGGCGTATAGATAAAGTTTTATTTAATAATTTATAATTTGGTACATCAAAAATAACTTGGTAATCGTTGCCATGTACTAAAGTAACAGGGCGGAAGTTCCGGTTCGTCACGCCGAGATCTTTAGACTTGAAAAAACAAAGGATGACCACCATAAGCAGTATCTAAATATATATTTTTTTAATTGTGCGTGTATTTAGTGAGTGACAAAAAGTAAAAATACTTAACCGGTTCATGGACAATGACTGCGCTCATCGTAAAATTAATCAGAATATGATAGTAATCATAATAATAACGCACACACTCAACATAGCTCCGCACTAGTGTCCTCCTGTGTCGCAGGTGCCATGGACACACACAGACAACCACAAATTACACCCAAACTCACGAGAAATAAACGCAAAATAAAATAAAATATTTCTCCCGGCCCGGGAATCGAACCTGGGACCTATGCGTGGCAGTCTGGCATGGTAACCGTTCGGTCACTTTTTTACTGCTATTTTCAAGTGCTGTCTGTACAGTTGCCGTATACTACTTCTCCATAGAGAAATATCAAAGTACTAACGAAATTCGATTATTTACATTGAATATTTTGTATTGAATCAACATAAATCACTACGACTCTAAGAAAAGGAGTGACGTTTTTGTATGCGGTACAATTTAAGTATTTAAGGGTTATCTAGATTCTACAAGATACTAGTATATAACGACCGTACCTCACGCTTGATTGGTTCTCCCTCACAGTGAATGACGGTGTCAGGAGCGACGATGCAGTAGGGGGAGGGGTCCGTCTCCACCACCTTGAACTCGACGGCACGCATACCGCCGCGGACCATGAATGTGTCATCCTTGTGGATAGGCCGGTACGCTTCCATGAAGTATGGTTTGAGATAAACTTCGAATAAGTTGCTAAGAAGAAAAGAAAAAAAAAGTAGAAAATGGTAAAGTTTCATTCTGAGAGCATGAAGATAATCATAGTAACATATTAAATACATATAATTAGGAGAGTTAAAGCCACTCATTGTTGGTTAAATATTCCTCGCTTTGTAATGTAACTACAAATATGTACCCCTGGTATTATAATAAAACCACATGCAATCAAACGCCGAAAGTTCTTTTATGACGTAAAAGTCATTAAATAATTACTATAATTATTAAAAGGTTGGCTTCATTTAGGCCTTGCCTATGCAACGCCTCATCACTGCCATCATTACTTACTGATCTATTGTGATCACCTATAACTATGATTCTGAGCTAAGGCCATCAGTGTTAAAGAACAGAAGGATTTTCTAGGCTTCAACATTTCTGATGTTCTTGCCTGTGCCTTCCCAGTATGAAGCTTTGTAAAATAATATTAAATACATGAAACAAATGAAGTACATTTATATGTACTTCATTTCAGAAGTTATAAAATTTCATATAAATGAAGTTTTATAACTTCTATTTCGAAACCTCCCATGAACACTAAGCCAACTTAATTTTTGGACCGCCGCGGACCATGAATAACAGAATTGATCAAAAAATAAAATAAAAGAGGTATCGATTTGAGCACAAAAAGTTAAATAATTTAATTCGAAGAATCTTAAGGGTGCGTACAGATGTGGCGAATGCGCCGCGAACGCGCTATATGTGCGCAGCGCGCAGGCTGCACGCGTGCACATGTTACTATATGTGGCGCGCGAGAGGCGCGCGGACGGCACGCGAACAGATCGTACGTATGCACGTCGGCAGTGCGCGAGCCTTTCGCAAAAAGGCGCATTTGCAAAATTTGTACACACCCTTAAACCTGTCCCCGGAAAATTTGTCATTTTGCATACGTTATAGCCTTATTACACCAAATTTGCTAATTGTTCTACTAGTGAATTATATGTCTGTCATGTCATTATATGCTTTACAAAAATCACATAAAAAATTCTACCACATACTCACCCAGTAAGTCCTTCTACAGAATCATCAATAGGCAATATGTGTACTCGTTTGCCATATTTGACAGATGGGCAAGGCGCTATTGAGACGACATCGGACAAACGCACGCGCAGGTTATTTCGCACAACGCGATTCATGCGGATTTTCTCATCGGGGCAGTTGTCGTCGGAGAGCACGATGCACACTGTCTCCTTGCGCCTTTTTCCCTTCAGGAGCACCGTGTCGCCGCGGAACAGTTGAAGTTGCTCCATTTTAGCCTATGGGAGTTCTTTGTGTTAATAATAGTAATGCAGGAGAACATTGTCTATGTTTACAGGGATATTCTCACAGTATAAATAAGACATATATGGTAACTCCGTATCAGCGCGTTTATGTGCGTTGTATGTGTGCGCGCCCGCCGCGTGCCGTGTACGGATGGACACAATCGCATCATTTCGCAATGCACTCGCGTTGCATAGCGGTGATCGTCTCATGCGGCCTTTATTATAATGCGAATGCGCCGTAGACGGCGCGCGGTGGACGTGCATACTTACAAGCCGCACTGCTTCATATGAATGGAGATACCATACTTATACTATGATATTACTGTCAATTGTGAGTGTCATGCCCCCCAGCAGATGTGCTTATCAGATTGCCAGAACTATTGACATAATTATTTTGTTGTAGTCTGTCAATCCAACTATTAACTAACACTGATAATGTCATACGCAGAAATCGTAATAAGCAAAGTATACTCACCTAAACTTCAAGTCATAGATTGGATTGCCTCTAAAAGGCAAGAAAACAAAACAGTTGTGATTTTATCTTATACTTATGATATTAAAACAAAATAGTTATCCCTAAATGCTGTTTTTGGCCTTCTCAAGACGAGAGTGAATAGATTATTTAGGTGTGCATGCTCCACGGTCGACCTCAACGTCACTTTTCATCAGACGTGATAGAAGTCTAATATGCAATTATTCTTGTAGAACAAATAATGATTTTACTTATAATTACAAAACTTTTCTTCTAAACATTGTAAAAATATTGTAAAAGTGTACAAGTGATGTAAATTGTACATGAAAAATATAGAACAAAATGCAATGAAATAATTCTCCAATTTCAGGAAATTTTATGCACTATACGTGTGTGCATTACATGGTGTTTAGGTAAATATGTTGTGCCCAAGTTGTTATAGACAGAGTACATTACAACATTAAGTACATGTCGGATTCGTAGATAAAGATCTTTCATTGTACATTTGCAACTGTTTTCAAACAGCTAAAGCCTCGTAAGTTTCAAATATTTTTATAATCTTAATACTTTGGACTACTAAAACTGATATTACACTATCTGACGTGTGACACTTTGAATAAAATAATCAATTTTTGGGTAAAGTAATAGGGGTTTCCTCTTTTGTTGTAGACAAAATGAAAGATGGAAATTAAAATACGTTACTTTAATGATTATCAGCAATATTATTCAGGATAAAAAAGACCAAGTGATAAATCATCATGATCAATATCCGACCTAATGTTTCGCAGAAGCCTTCTTTTACAAGAAGATTTAGGGTATGGTTTACTGATCTAATGTAGATAGGCATTTTACAAGTATTAATTCAGCTTCGAATAAGGTGTTTGCCTTCACCATATGAGCAAGTTATTATGACTAAGTACAATATATATGTCGACCCCTCCTATGTTAAGTATCATATGTCGAAATTGCTAAGTCTACTGTTAAGTTAAGAGTGTTTTAAAGTTTTGAATTCATTGAAATAAGCTTTTGACTTTAGCATTTCTCAGTTTTATTAGGCCAAGCTCATTACTCACATAGAGTATTATAAAATAGAGTGTTCAAGTAAGTATAAGGTTCAAATCATTGGCTGATAATATAATTTTAATTTTAAATTGCCTGAAGTAGTAGCACAAGCAAATTATTTTCATAATGCCTTTTCAAGGGCGATCAGTTCATGGACCATGAGCAGTTGTTTGTGATCTGTTCGGCGGATATTAGGCTGCCGTCAACTTTCCAATTTCTTTCCTTTAGTCCCACATGTGGTGCCTCCTCAATTGTCTGTTACTTGTGAGGTTTGTTCCGAGCTTTTGCAAGCCTGTTTTCATGTCGTGAGATCGTCCTTATAGGCTTTTGTCATGCTAAATATCTCCTGTTTGACAGTAGAGATTTTCAGATCATGAATATCATCCATTTTTGTGAACCGTGGAGCATTTACCCGAGTTTTGAGCTACTATTTATTCCAAAATGGAGTCATTTTGGAATAAATAGTAATAAATTTCACAACATGACAAAGATCGAAATCTAACTTGGCAGCATTTTACTTTAAAATTAAATTTGTTACTAAATTTTGATTGAACTGTGTTATCGAGTTCTTAGGTTTTCGCGATTGTTATACATAGGAATGAAACTATTTTTCCGGATTTAAATCGCGTATATTTGTTTTTTCAAACAAACCGACATTTCGGGCCCTTTACAGGTCCCATGGTCACGGTTGACATGGTCGGTTTGTTTGAAAAAACAAATATACGCGATTTAAATCCGGAAAAATAGTTTCATTCCTATGAACTGTGTTAGTTAAATCATTTAATAAATTTAGTTGCAATAAAGATTACATAGACAGTTATTTTCAAAAAATAATCATAGTTTGTATAGTCATAAGTAAAATAATACAATCCACATTGACAACCCAGGTGGCCTAACAAGTTGCACAATGGGCACTGGATGAGGAAGTTCCAGATTCAATTCTTGGTAGGCCAAATATCGGAAATGAATTTTTTTCATGACCTTTTCAAATATTTTTGAAAACTCTGGAATCAAAGTGATAGGTCTATAGTTAGTAATGTCTGTAGTGTCTCCCTTTTTGTGTAACAGTGTAACAATTGAGAGTTTTAATGTCTCTGGAAAAGTTCCAGTTTTAAAGGAGAGATTCCCAAGAAAGGCAAGTACTCCGCATATCTGATCTTCACTCGCTTTGTCTTTTTTTTCTAAGTGATTCTAGTCTGGGTGTGTATCAGGTAGTTCCCCAGAGTGACTTCAGTTCCTCTGGTACTCATAGTCTGGGGACTAGTTCGAGACCAGGTATTTGGTGACCAGGCAAAAACAAATATAATATCACTTTAATTTTTATAGCAAAATCAATCTTAATGGTTATTTAAAAAAACAAAATGGATCCCATAGACCAGCACTTATTGTTCAAGTTCATACCATGAATAGAATAGGTAATTAATGAACATCAAATCTCAATCTTAGACATAGTCACATCTTGAACAAACTCCGCATCTCATTTATTCCATTGTCATGGTATTATTAGTCAAAATTGCGGACAAAGCTGTAACTGACCTGTGATAATGCGACGACGGAGTTGTCATCGCTGACGGCTTCTTCCACGATCAAACGATTGGGCCTGTCCTTACGGCGCAAGATCGCAGTCGACAGATCATCGGGGCTGCATACAACATACAGAGATTACTGCTAACAATCCAACCGATCATAGACCCCAAATAACCAAAAGCATCACTTCGACACAAAGAAAATCATACCATTTATCTACGTTTATTGTGACAATAGTAATTGAAAACGTATTTTACAAGAAATGGTTACAGTATTTACAATGAACTTGCACAAATTCAATGAGACTCGCGACCCAGACATGATGACAAGCCAATTTTTCCACCATCAGTTTATCAATGTTTTATAACGAATCTACACGATATTACAAAGAATTATTAACGGAGAATGTATAATATACATTATTTCACACGTACCTTTTATTATCTGCCATTTTTAACAAATAGTATAAATTTAATTCGTAAATTTACTAATTTTCAAAACGCCGAACGAACAATTCACTTCCCCACTTCAGACGTGCGTGACGTTGCCGTATTTCATTTGTTCACGATCAAGCCTCTTAAATTAAAAAATAGCTAAAAGACATTTGTGAAAACGAGATAGTATATATACAAAAATTCACTTAGCATGCTATCTCATCGTTATATAAATGTGCGAAAAAAGCTCACCATATTTTTTTATTATTATTTTTTAATTCGAACCTTGTGATTCAATCGCAAAATTGTTAAGATTGTCCATTCTAATCTCCAGCGCTTGTTATTTAATGGTTTTCTGTAAAGAAACTTGTAAATACAGACAAATAAATATAGATTTGTACGAGGTCTCCATTCTTTGTTAGATATTTCGTTTTAATTTAATAATAAATCTTCTTGTAGCCAAAGTTCGATAATATAAAAAAAATATCTAATGCTGTGTTGCCATTGTAAAAAATCCATTACAGCAGAGTTTTTACCGGTTTTACAAGGGTTTTCCGATTATCTAGGATTTTGTGGTGCTATTAATCGACAGAAGATGGCGCGTGATAGAGCAATCGTGCGCAATTGAGTGCGCGTGTAAAGATGTTGGAAGGAACAGGAAAAGACGATCAGTGGCGCGCAAACGCGCACTCCAACACGTGTCTGTTATCCTTTACACCAGGGTTTCTTCAAGAAGAAGATAGGCGGGTTGCATTGACGTGCGTCTCGCTTCATCAAATTAATGAATGGACGAAGGACACGAAAATTAAAAAAGTCACGTCCACTGTACCTATTTACTCACAACACATTGTATGCCCATTTTTCTATTAATGCATGCGTTAGGTAGGCTCTCCTTGGACCCCGGCGTCCATTACACTGACCCCTTTGGGGTCCATGGACCATAGGTTAAGAAACCCTGAATTACGGACGCTCCTTACGTTGTAATAAACAGGAACAAGTGCAATCGCGCGCGAATGAACGTTATATTAAAAAAGTTCAAACAGGTAGTCACGCACGACTGCGCGTGCAGGCTTTACCGTACGCAATCCTTACGCTCCTGATCACGCGCGACAGAGTAAATGTGTAAAGGGGGCTTAAAAAGACCCGCCTACGGTACTAAATAAAAGATAGATTTAAACAAGTAGAACTTATTAATTTTAATAATCTTTGAAGTCTAATTTCAAGAATGTGTTTCATAAAGTAATTGTGACAGCGGTTTACCATTCAGCCGAAGACGAGGATTCAGACGAAGATGAATCCTTGACTTCGTCTGAGAAATCCTCGTGTTCCTTAATAACACTTTTAAGTTTTTTTTTCAAATCCACTCGATCTCTTTTGCTCATACTCAGAATACTTTTCAATATAACGTCGTTCAATAACTTTTGGGTCTCAGTGTTAATGTTTCGTTTATCACCGCGTATATAATTTTCCATGTCATATAAGTAATCGTTAAATTGTATCTGCTGTTGTAAGGTAAACGCTGCATTTATAGCCTTTAAAAATGCAATAAGTTTATCTGATTTGTTCTCCAATGCATTTTGATATTCAGTCAACTCTGACGCAATCTCATCCTGATACATACGAGAAAGTTCTTTAAATTTATCGGCTAACTCCGACGTATATAGTTTATCCATAGACTTCAAATGGTTTCGGAAAATTGTACATATTTTCCTCACTGGTTTTTCTCTACCACCGGAGAGTAGAAAGAGGAACTTTTTGAGAAACGAATCGAATATTCCTTCGTATTTGGCTCCATCTTGCTTTAATTTAATTGGTCGTACCGCCGAACCTACGTACGATAAATTGAGAAAAACTAAACTTATAGCAAACGCCGGCATTGCCCACTGCATATCAGATCACGTGTGCCTGCATGACTAATAGAAACATAAAGAAACACAATTTCGTGGTTTGTTGGCGATCACTTAAAACATCACCCTGTAATTGCATTCCACACCAATATGGTTAATAATTATAGCAATGTTTTGTTTTGAATTTCATCTGTGTACATGAACAAGGTCATTTTTTACTGTTTTTAACGGACTTCAAAAAGGGAGGTATTTCTAAATTCGATTGTTATTTTTTTGTGTATGTTATTACGATTAACTTGGGCATTTGTGAACCGATTTCGAAGATTCTTGTTTGATTAGGAAGGGGGTACTTCAGAAGTGGTCCTATTGAAAATTGAAGGAAATATTCCGCCTCTAACGGTGGGAAATTGGGTGATGAATCCGATTTTATTGGATTTCACGCACTTTCCGTTAACCGATTTCAATAATAGATGTAATTCCACAAATTTTCAAGGTCGGTTATTTAAAAAAAATTCAAATTGTTATTCATCTAAAATATCCCATGCCGGAATATTTTGTTTGGTTTCTGTGTTTTTTTAGTACTCGGACTAATTGATTGTCAAACGCATTCATCTCTGAATAAAATATATTAACATAATTGTACATTTTTATAATAACATTATAATTTATTTAACAATTATACAAATATATTTTTATCATTACTTATAATAATATTATTAATATTATAATACAGTTAGCCGTGCCAATAGCACCTGTAAAGGGCCCAAAATGTTGGTTTGTTTAAAAAAATGGCCAAAAAAATTGTTCAATCACTAAAATATATTTATTGACCTTATTTTCAACTATTTACGACTTACGATGCCTACTTGGTAACGTGTTGAGAATACAATTAATGAATATCTACCAGATACCTTTGAGTACTTGGCTACTTACAAACGCAGTAAATTTGGAGTACATCAAAGCAAAAATGAAATTTCAATTTAATTACTTCAATATTTAATAATTATAACAAACTAGTGGAGTAATTTCACAAAAAATAATTGAATACCCATTCAATACAAATTTAATTACAGATAATAGCGACATCTCTCGCCAGGGCTCGTAGCTTTAAGTTACCTAACTGGATGACGAAATACTTTCATAGATTTCTCATAGATGGCGCTACGGGTAAAAAGTCGTTGAAAACTAAATACAAAGACCCGATAACAAAGCACATGGAAAAAATCGTAAGGTTCGCTAATTCGTTACGTGGTTTAGTTGACATAGCGTCTGACACGGTTTGCTAGAAGATGTCGGTTCGAATCCGGCCGGATCGAAGGAACTTTTTCTAAGTGTTCGATCTTTGTATTAATTATAATAAGCCAGTGGAGTAATTTTGCAAAAAGTAATTGAATATCCACTCAATACAAATTTAATTACTTAAATTATTAACTTTTCATTAAACCAATTGTAATTTTTACTTATTTATTTATTTATTTATTAAGGTTCATCAACAATTGTTACAACAAATACATTATGAGTGGTTTCTATTCTAGGGTTATACTAATTGCACAATTTTTAACAGATGAACACCACGTGCAAGTAAATTAGTGAATTCAAAAAAGTAGTCTGCGAAGGGCTACACTCGTATCTATGTATTTACTTAAATAGTAAACAATATTATTAACAGAAAAAAAAAAGTTTTGAAAGTTTAAAGAAAATTAGGTCACGATGATGTAATCGATCGACGGAATTTAACTAAAAAGTCGTGAAATATATCTAAATTATTGATATTAACGATAAAATGGTTATACAAGCTGCATAGACGAGGAACTGGCGAGTTGCGACCCACTACTGTCCTGCGTAATATAAAAGACATACTAAAAAATTATAATAATGATATATAATATGTGAGTGTTAATTAGGATATGTTACATTTTTTCGGTAGATCACATGGTATAATGACAATGACATTAGTTCCGCGAAAATCAATAGTTTAGAAAATAAATTACTTTTTTGTACTTTTCTGAAAATTTTTTACTCTAGTCAGCAAAGCTACTCTACGCATGCTATGCTAAGAGACATTTTTGTGTTTGCTCTTAGATTTAGACCTCTTGGTGATTTTTTATTTGGCGACGAATAACATGTTCAATGCTCTTAAAATCCCTTACTCAAAACAGTGACTGTATTATCAAAATTTGATATGTTAATTAAGTATTATTTGAATAAATTTACCTTAATCTCCCAAAACAAAACATTACTTCAACGGCATAAAAACAGTTTTGTAAGGGTTGAGACTTAGGAACAAAATCAAACCGCATAAATATTTATTAAAAAAGTAAACAATAAATTCTCAAAGTGCCAGTCTCAGTTTGCATTTTGCATTTGCATACTAAAAGACATCGGCGTTTAAAGGTTTTTTTTTTAGTACCAAGTGACGGGATGAACAAGTCGCGCGTCTGGTGGTAAACGACGCGCTTGCCCATAACAGTTACAGTGCCACTCAGAGCTTTAAATCGCAAAGATCTTATGGGCACAGTCACGCCCGTCACCCTGAGACCCGAGACATAAGTTGACAAGTTCCATGTACTTGAATTTCACCAACACCCTTACCCTTCTAAACCGGAACGCAGTAATGCTCACACTACTGCTTGGCGACAAAAATAGGTAAGGTGGCAGTACTTAGCTGAACGAACTCTTTCACTTTTAGAGCTCACCTCTACTGCTGATATTATTGCCGTTTGGATTTTTGGCATAACTCTTGTTCCGACGTACTGTCTCAGGTGATCCTGTGATTGTAGAGGAAAAGGATTACAACCGATCCACCTCTCCCAATATGGTGCCTTAAGGTATAATCGATACCCTAAGTCTTAGGGCCTAAGATATGTGACAGCCTATCGTCAGATAGTTTGGTTCTGAATAGATAAGCGTGAAGAAAAGTGTTTAACAAGCTTAACCTTTAAAATTAAAATTAATTGATATAACTTACTTAATGACGTTATGGTAATCGCTACTGAACTGAAAAAATTCATTATAGTTTTGTACACAGAATTATAATGAGTTTTAAAAAACATCGTCGTACTTTTGCTAATTAAAATAGGAAATATAACGCTACTCAAACGCTCTACTGCCTCTTGATTGGTTAAAATATAAGAGGTACTTGGCCAATCACGGACACTTCTATTATCATTTCTTTGTTTTTTTTTGTTTTGTAGCTTTCTTTTGTGTTTGAGGCTGTTGTCGTGGATTGTTAAAAACAATTTTTAATATTGATTATGTTCATTATTTTAATTGACTCGTAGAAAAAGTATTGTATACAATCATCACATAATTAGATCTTAATATTTTGTACCTATTACACGGTATAGTTATACCTAGTATAGACACGATACTCGACTTTAAGAACCCCCACTGTGCAATGATTGCAAAAATACTATTCTATCGATTTCGTAAAATGGCTATCAAAACCAAAAGGTCGACTAGAGGGTGAGGTATCTTAGGGCATGGACTTTATTTCTCATTCTTAATGCAAGATGACATGTAGCTCTGTCATGCTTCAACCACTTGTGAAGGTTTGGCAACTTATTTTGTGTAGAAAGTTTAAGGCGCGTCGGCAGTTCAACGGGGCCAACGAACTCCTTGTTAATAATGTCACTCCACAAATTGATGCTGTAGCGTTCTAAGCATGATTTTCTCACAAAATATGGATTAGGTATGATATTGATAGAATAATAATAGAGACAATTGTGTGTATTGAATAATTCAAACCATTCGAAATCGGCACGCCTAATTCCCCAAAATACTAAAAAAAGTCTCAAAAGTCCTTTTTGTCTCTTACACTAATAAATACTCAAAACTGTTGTATGCATATATATATTTATATATACAGCAAGTTTGAATTTAATTAAAGGTTTGTTTAAAAAAAATTTAATTTAGTTTAAATAACGATTGTGGTAGCAATTATCAATTTTGGTTTTTAGTGACATGTGTACATGATGTTAACTTCGACTCGTCTACATGATGTTATGATAACATGTTCAACGTTAACATCATGTAGACAACATGACGTTAACTTCGAAACACATTACAATAATTACACCATTATATTTTTTGTAGTTAATGACTACATCTTAAGATAGTTTGTATATATCTACCTTTACAAGTAGCATTAGAGCTCCTTCTGAAAGAGTTCGTTCAGGGAAGCTGCCACCTTTCTCACCTATTTGTACCCCTAAGCAGTAATGTGAGCATTACTGCATTTCGGTTTTGAAAGGTAATGGTGCTGGTGAAATTATAGGTACATGGAATTTTTTATCTAAAGGGCGACGGGCGCAGTGATAATGCCCCTCAGATCTTCGCAATTTAAAACTCTGCACTGTTATGGACATTCACGTCGCTTACCAGCCGATACACGACTTCTTTGATCCGTCACTTGGCATCATAAAAAAATATTGTTACAACAATATTCTTTTTTTAAGTTGCCGCCGTCTATGGCGGTAACTTTTACACAATCGATCAATTACTTAGTTTGTGAACAAATAAAAAAAAAACCAAAAGTTGTAAAACACTGGCGAAATCTAACAACAAACACAAACATGACTCATTGCATGTACTTAGATAGGGAAGCCACACTGATTCTATACCCAATTTTAATAAATTTAGTGGCATAGTTTTTAAACTAGAGTGCTTCTGGTGACTAAAGTAGAAAATTTTTAAAAAAGTACAAAAAAGCCATGACTATTTTTTTTTAGAACTAATTTTTTTTTTATAATATCAAGTGACGGTACGAACAAGTCGTGCGCCTGATGGTAAGCTACACGCCTGTCCATAACAGTTGCAGTGCCACTCAGAGCTTTAAATCGTAAAGATTTGAGGGGCACTGCCACTGCGCCCGTCACCCTGAGACATAAGTTGACAAGTCCCGTGTGCCTAAAATTTCACCAGCATCCTTACCCTTCAAAACCGGAACACAGTAATGCGGACATTACTGCTTGGCGGCAGAAATAGGTAAGGTGGCAGTACCACCCTGGACGAACTCTTTCACAAGGAGCTCTACTGCTACTCTACTCTATTCTAAATGGGTAATTACGAAAAGATTTAAATAAAAAAATATTTGTACTACTTTTTTGTTAATGGGCCACACAGCATTATAGATATATACTGTTTGTAAAGTACCTCCTATATTCATGTGTCGACACCGCTAAATTCTTCCAGAGCCAGTTTCATTCTTGCAAGAATGTATTTCTTTCGTCGCGGGTCTAAAAGTTTGACGCTGTCGTATATCAGATTTAGCTCTGCTCTTATTTCCATGTTAATATCTATGAGAGCGTCCTCTTCGAAATATTGTCTCAACCTCTAAATCAATGCATTAAGATTTCGCTCTTTGTCGACAATACATAATAACGACTCTAAAAATCCAAAAATGGAGCTCTGTAAATCTGTAAGTATTTTCTCCGTTGCTCGTATGTCATTGATTTCAAGTAAAGGAACCACTTGGACAATAACTTCGTGTATTGGTTATGTATAAGATCCAATATTCTATAGACATATCACGGAGAGTGTGCGAGAGATTGTACGATTTAATTCCGCCTTCACCTTTTCATCATCAGGGCGACTAGACGTAGGCTTGGGTTCCACCCCTATGTTGTGGGTATTTCAAAGATTCCGACGAAACGTTACGCTTTCACATTTATATGGCGAACGTCTATGGAGTGGAATTCCTTGCTTGCAGACATAATTCCCTGAACGCTATAATCAAGGCGAGAGTGAATAGGCATAATTTAGGTTTGCATGCTCCATGGTCGACCTTATCGTCACTTTCCATGAGGCGAATTGAAGGTCAAATGCGCACTTATTATATCATAAAAAAATAGTAATTAAACTATTTAAGTACGTGGGCCATAATGAGTAATTGATCATTAATTAGGGTGTAATGAAAATCAGGGTCACAGTCTTTACTCAGCTGTGACATTAGCCGAGTAGATCCACGCCACAGCCGCACACATGACATTTATTCAAATTGAGTTGACTATTTAAAATTGGATTATGTTTGCTTCGTTGTTGTTTAGTTTGTAATTTTATTTTTTGTTTTAATTTTGCTTTGTCTTTTTTTATTAATTATATTATATTGTATTCTAATTTAATAAATCATTTCCCAAAATTGTTTAATACTCTGTGATATTAATGATTGTGTTCTAAAGTTACAAAATGCTTTTGTAAGCTTATATTTATTCTTACTAAAACTACGAATTTCCACACAATGTAATGCATATTTGATCACAAACAATAAACTTTACAGTCATCCTTGTATTGAAAAATCATAAATCAATTTCACGCATATGATTCGCAAAAATTCACTTGATTTTTCAGTTGATTAACAGCTATTAAAATTTAATAACGCCCTTCTTTTTTAAACCATGGTGCTCAATTAACAACAAGTCGAATTTTAACATAATGTTGTCCAATACACTTTTCTTCTGACGATTCAATCTTCTTTGGATTATTCTTTTGAACACATAAATGGTTTTTTTTTCGATATTCCTGAGCCTTCTCGCGCCAAATCTTTTCAAATCGTAGATGTAATTATCAAAGCGATTGTCATCAATCACTGAAAATATGGGATTGATCGTATCAAAAAACATGTTCTTAAAATGACGCCACTCTGTTATATAGTTGCAGAACGTCTGTACAATAGCGTCTATGAACTTTTTTTTAAAATCAATAATTGATCTGATTCGTTTTCTAAATTTACGAACCCATCTCTTCATAATGAAGCCGCAGCCTATTCCTTTTAGGCTTTTAGCAAGCACCGTTAAAAAAGTTCTAATTTTACGAATTGAAAGCCGGCTAATAGTCACGTTGCATAAATTTTTTATAAAGCCGTAGAAAGGGCCGTTTGGTTCAGGCTTCTTTACTGTAGGCGGGGGATTGGTAGCGAATAGCCAGGCCTCCATTTGTTTATTGATCCTTTCTTTTTCTGTGGCATTTGGTTTATACAAAGGTACTCCTGCGTAGTCTTCCTCTGTAGTACTACGCCTTTTGCTTTTGGATGTAGTTGTGGTTATGTCAATGTCCAATCCCTCTACTCCTTTATATTCTTCGTCTTCCGACGTTTCAACGTCATAGCTCGTGTCATCGTCGCTGGTATCGGATTCGCTACTACTGGTATACAGCAAGCCACTCAACAAAACTAATCTAATCGTTATGCACATTGCAATACCGATTCCGCTAAAGTTACGGTTAATCAAACGTACGCGACATAGTAAGTAATAAAACTGCTTTCTTTATAGATTATTTTCTATTTATCTTTAATTAATGAATTATTTCAATGTTGGTTTTTTCTCGTTGATTTCTGTCTCCAGACCACGATCGCGCACATTTCAGGATCTGTGAAGGAAAGATGAGATTGGTAAATGTCGATAGAGAGTACGGGGCTACTCTATTTACAGAGTATTTAGTAGCAGTAGAGCGCCTTGTGAAAGAGTTCGTCCAGGTAACTAATGCCTCCTTACCTGTTTCTGCAGCCAAGTGGTAATGTGAGCATTACTGCGGCTCGGTTTTGCAGGGTGCTAGTGTAATTACAGGCACACGAGACTTGTCCACTTATGTTTCAGGGTGACGGGCTCAGTGGCAGTGGCTCTCAAATCTTTGCGATTTAAAGTTCTGAGTGGCACTCCAACTGCTGTGGACAGGCGTGATGCTTACTACAAGCCACGCACGACCTGTTCGTCTCGTCATTCGGTACCATAATAAAAAAAAGTACGAGACGTACCTGCCACACGATAATGGTGATTAACGCAGAAAGCAGTGAATTTGTTGTTGCAATGAAGATGCATCCGAATAGCATGGCGTCAAACGTTCCGAGAGACCACTCTTCACCCCACCTGTAAAAGCGTTTAGTTTTTAACAGGAAAGGTTTTTGTACAATCTGCAAATTTGATTTGAAATACTTGTCATTTTTTTCAACTCCGCCAGTTTGACCCACAAAAACATTCCCTGCTTGACGGTATTTAGATACATACTACAGCGCCTGTTTTCTAAGATAAGCAGAGACCGTAAACCTCCACTTGCAACGCTCCTGACCTTCTCCTGACAGATTTAAAATGCCTTCTTCAGTCGCATCAGCATACACGCCCCTTTATTTTTTGTCCTTATAACCTGGCCTTTATAAGGCATCCCCTGTAGGTATATTTATTTTTATAAGGTTCAATTACTTACTCCACTGAAACTACAATTACGAATACGTTTTGATAATAAATATTGATACAATGTATAAAATAAAAATCATTTATTTCAGGCGACAAACATCCATACAAATTATATTAAGTTAATGAAATTATAATTATTAACACAAAGTTCGAACACTCAGAAAAAATTCCTTCGGTCCGACGTCTTCTAGCTTACCGTGCCAGACACTATACCAACTAAGCAACAAAACGAACCAGCGGACCTCACGAATTTTTGTATGTGCTTGCGTCGTGTCTTTGTATTTGGTTTTTTCAAGGACTTTTTAGTCGTAGCGGCGTCTATGGAAGATTTATCACCCAGTTAGTACCTTTACAGTTACCAGTCCTGGCGAGAGATGTCGGCGGATCGAAGGAATTTTTTCTGAGCGTTCGATCTTTGTATTAATAATTATAACAAACTAGTAGAGTAATTTCACAAAAAAAAATTTGCGATTCTTTTAGAATTTATATTATTTAATTTGTTTTTTCATAGATAGATGGTCACGGGGCCGATTGAATAAATGTAACGGGCCCGAAAAGTTGGTTTGTTTGAAAAATCAAATATACGAGGTTCAGATCAGAAAATTTTTTTCATTTCCAATGTGTAATAATCGCGAACTCGATACTTACTCTCTTCTCAGACTTTGACACACTTGAGCGTGGCTTAAGGGAGTCTACACACTCATCGACACTGAATTGCGTTAAGCCGGTCAGAAAATATTTTATATCTACTGATGACGTTATGCCTCTGGCACCGGCCGGCGGTCCGAACAGAAGCGAAACGCGACGCGTCTTTTCGCTCTTATTACATGTTTTCGTTAATGGTTAGAATAGAATAGAATACGTTTATTTACCAGAACACAGTAGTTAGTTTTAAGTAAAATTAGGTACACTGTATTCAACCTGCAAGCAGATGTGCAAATATTAACGGGATTTAATGTTTAGTCTCTATAGTTTCTAATTAATGTACTGAATTTGTAAATTCTAAGTATTTTTTATTACTATAGAAGCAATGAGTCAAAAGCCATTCTGTCAATTGTAATTTAAAAGTATGTCCTAGTAACAATTAAATTTCGTTTGGTAATTTATTGTAAATAATTAATTATACACGTGTTGATGCAGTTATTCTTATAAATTACTTTATGGCAACGAAGTTGGTATAAAACATTCATAATTTTTGCTCTAGTTTACCTTTGAATGACTTCACCGCGTGTTTTAAAATATTGCGGATGAGAGTTAGTGTAAAGCAGGAGGCAAACGAGCAGACGAGCCAATTGATGGGAGGTGGTCATCGTCGCCGATGAACATATACAACATCAGATGAGCTGCCTATGCGTTGCTAGCCTTTGAGAGCCCTGTTGACACACTTTTTGAAGAACCCAATGTCATAGCGCAAAAGAAATACTTCAGGAGGAAAATTATTCCACATTTTGCAGGTTCGAGGAAGGAACGATCGTAATGCCCACGTGATCTTGCAATGGCAGCCATCTATGACGTGGTGATGGGTTCTACTCCTTTGGCGGAAGGTGCGATGGTAGAAATGAGATTGTGGCACCAGTTCAAAAAGTTCCTCTGAGTACTCCCCATTGTAGAGACGGTAGAACCAATGTCTCTCCGTAGACTAAGAGACTCCAAACCATGGACATAAAGCTTTTTTTAGCAGTAGAGCTTTTTGTGAAAGAGTTTGTCCAGGGAAGAACTGCCACCTTACCTATTTCTCCGCCAAGCAATAATGTGAAGATTAGGTACTGCGTTCCGGTTTATAAGGGTGTTGGTGAAATTGCATACGGGACTTGCCAACTTATGTTTCACGGTGATGGGTGCAGTGGCAGTGCCCATACGATATTTGCTTTTTAAAGGTCTAAATGGCACTGCAACTGTTATGGATAGGCCCATCAGGCGCACGACTTGTTCGTCCCGTCACTTACCCCGACAGTATTAAAAAAAGCTTTTTGTGATCGGCTTAATGCAACTCAGTGTCAATAAGTGTGGTGACTCCCTAATAGGTGCTGTCCTTAGGTCAATGGTGTTGTCAGAGGATCTTAAAATACTTACCAAGTGACTGAAAAACAGGTAGGTGCATTCATATCAGGATCATAGAGCAGAGCGCTGGTGTTGCCAGCCTCTCTAGCAAGCAGCTCGACATCAAACAGTCTCTCTAGCACTGTGCGCTCACTGGCCACCCAGCTTAGACCATCTAGAGCCTTAAGAAAAAGAAATCTGTGATTTAAGAAAAACAGTAAACAAAAGTAATAATTGTTAATACAAAGAATCAACACATAAAAATCCTTCGATCTGACAAGACTCGAAACTGTATGCCAAACTAGGGCCACCACTCTACCAAGTGAGGTAACAGATCGTGGTCGATCTGACAGGACAAGTAGAGCGGTGACCCTAGTACGGTATCAGATAGAGATCGAAAGAATATATCTATGGGAGTCATAGTAATAGTAACTGTTTTTATTGAATCTAGAGATTCAATAAAAAACAATATTACAAAAGTAATATTTAATATTTTCAATATTATAAAGCTATGAGGTTTCGTCCATGGAATGAAACTCAATATTTAGTAGCAGTAGAGGTCCTTAATATAAAAAGAGTTCGTCCAAGAAATACTGCCACCTTACCTATTTCTGCCGCCAAGCAGTAACGTGAGCATTACTGTGTTCCGGTTTTGAAGAGTAAAGGTGCTGGTAAAATTACAGGCATATGGTACTTATCAACTTATGTCTCAGGGTCACGGGCGCAGTGGCAGTACACCTCAAACCTTTCTGATTTAAAGCTTTAAAGTGCAACTGTTATGGACACGCGTGTCGCTTATTACTAGGTACACGACTTGTTCGTCCCGTCACTAGGTATGATAAAAAAAACTCACTCTTTCGAAGAAAGCCGCCAAGAATCGCGATAAAAGGGCGTGTCTCGATTCCACTTCTCCTAAACCACCAAGAGTCGGTGACGACAGTTGTTTATACACAGTTCTGTGAAATCGGAAACAGTAAGGGAATAGTTAAGTAATTAATAAAAAAGATGCTTTAACAACGCAGATACAAATGTTGATTTAAATAAATGAACCGTGACCATGGGACCTGTAAAGGGCCCGAAACGTCGGTTTGTTTGAAAAAACGCAATTTAAATCCTGAAAAATAGTTACATTTCCTAAATGAATGAAATTGTGTTCCCATTGCGGAGTGCTTAGAATGCCGGCAGCTGTTTGTCCTCTATATACAAACCTGAGTTGTGGAGCGCATACCAATCTGCAAGCTTCTAGATTTCCAGCTAAGGACCTCGCATCAACGTCGCTATTCCTAAAACAACATTTTGAATAATTACATTTTTACAATACCCTACGTTTATGTATATGTGTGGGTACGTAATATGAAAAACTAAATGTAATATAAAGTTGGATTTTCAAATAGACGACTCTTGGTCACCAATTGTCCTGACGTTAAGTGACTATATGGCTGATGCAGTTACGCGTTTGTTTGATAAATCATAATAATAATACATTTATTTCAGAAAATTTCACATATCTATATGTGTCAGTAACAATGGTCTTAGGAGTTATGTTAGTAACTTTAGAACAGAAGGAAAGAAAAAGAATAATTGTTTATTCATTTTATACATTATATGATTCAGCACATAATACAATACAATTAGGCAACACTTCGCACATGAAATCAGATACCGTCGTAACTCTAAGTAGTGGAATTGGGAAAACAAGCACATAGAACATTCGTAAGGTTCGCTGGTTAGTTCCGTGGCTTAGTTAGCATAGCGTCTAGCACGGTTTGCTAGAAGACGCTGCGCTGGTTTGGAATATCTCTATATCGAAGAAAGTTTTTCTAAGTGTTCGATCTTTGTATTAATAATTATAATAAGGATGGACTGTTACGAAAGCAAATGTACAGACCATAAGGGTAGGTTAAGTGAGGTGGGGTGCTTGAAAGTGGCCTCCCCGCAACGACGTAATATCTGGCGTACCCTGGGCAACAATCGACGAGTTCGTTACGCCGATTGACAAATGTTTTCACGACAATGGCACTATATTGTGTACCACCGATACAATTAGAAGGGTCGGCATCATAATGAGTATATCTTCAAAATAACCTGATCAGCATAAAGTTTCCTGCGCACCATAAAGGCTACGAGTGACCATCCAACTGCCACTAGGTATGCATTGTGGAAACGGAAAAATCCCCTACCACCTGGTTTCATCGTACCTCAAAAGCAACTACCACCAGGTTGCGACCTGCGGTAGCCCGTGTGGAAGTTCTAAAATCGCCTTCGCACTCAGGTAGGACGCTGCAGAGACTCGATGTGTAAATGGGGTTTCAAGGATACTAGTCAACCCCAATGTGACTGCGGTGCTTCAACACAGTCCATGCAGAACTTATTGTTGTGCCTCCTCCTACTACCTGTACGAGGGAATATCTCTACGCGGCCACGGCAGCGCAGTCAAAGTAGCAACGCTCTAAAATAAAAGAAGTATCGACACGATAAGAAGAAAGCTGCAGAAAGGCTATAACTTACAATGACATGGTAGCAAAACGACTAGATATCAAAATGACCATATCGTTAAATGTAGCAAATTAGGTGAAAAAAATTAGTTAAAAACAAAAAAGGTAGCAAAATAACTAGATTCTGTTATTGTTTTTTCAAAGTGTACTTTGTACTTAAACTGTAGTTTGGTTTAGTATCATCATACTGTTATGTATGAATGTGTGGCTGCGCCCACCACCACAGTTGCATGTTTAACATTTAACAGTGGCGACGTGCTACCCGCAATCACAAAAAAAACGCGTGCAAAATGTCGAATATTAGTGCTCAATCACAATACACAGACGTGGAAAACGTACAAAGGTCGTATTGAGCAATATTTCGTTGCAAATGATTTCAATAAATCCACGAATCCCGCGAAGAAAAGAAGGGCGATCCTACTCAGCGTACTCACAGAAAGTACCTACAAGCTAGCGACGGACTTCACGGACTAAAAAATTAAACAAAATTTAGAGTAACAAGAAGAGAGGAAGGGTAAGTACTCTTAAACAATACCTTCCATGTACACAATGTGCATAATACTCCTCTTGAAACACAATCACCGACATGCCAGTTCCCGTACACACTTTGGGTAAAACTTGAGTAGGTGACCCGATAACTTTGTCCAATAGCCAGCGACCCAATAACACAGATAAGTAAGCTGACCACCACGCGATCGTTGCGATTATCCATTTATATCCCCGACTTTGCGGTAGAGAAGATTGCCAGGGCTGCATTATCTGAAACGAGCAGAAATTTACGCTCAAAAGATTCCTTGATTAACTTAAACGTGTCGATGAAAAATATAGAATCAAGTTAACCTATTAAGATAATAGGAATTTCAGTGGCAGTAGAGCTCCTTGTCAAACAGTTCGCCCAAGTAAGTACTGCCACCTTACCTATTTCTGCCTCCAAACAGTAATGTAAACATTATTGCGTTCCGGTTTCGAATGGTATGGATGCTGGTGAAGGTACAGGCACATGGGACTTGTTGTGAACGTTTCGGGTATTTTTCCGGTCACGGCTGATAGAGATGGTAAAGTTAATAACAATATAAACCGAAAAAAAGTGTCAATTCCTATTAATTTTTACCTGTAAAATTACAAGTGTTAAAGTGACAGTGTATCCAGGAGAGGCTCTTCTCTTCGTTTGAATAGAACTCCATTCTTTAGCTAACATCATTGCTCTCCAGCTGTTATACTTATCTGCTATCGTAGAGTCCACTAAAAAATGTAATTACATTATTTGTAATGAAATATCACGCTGGTTTCGACTTATTTAGTTACAACAATAAAGTGCTTTGTATATTTCACATTATACTGAATCTTTTCAATATGAAAATAAGTTAGTAGCAGTAGAGCTTCTTGTGAAAACGTTCGTCTAGGGAAGTATTTCTGCTACCAAGCAGTAGTGTGAACATTACTTGCACATGGGACTTATCAACTTATATCTCAGGGTGACGGGCTCAGCGGCAGTGCCCCTCAGATCTTTATGATATAAAACTCTAAGTGGTACTGCAACTGTTACGGCCAGGCGTGTCGCTTACCATCAGGCGCACGACTTATTCGTCACGTCACGACTGAAAATCAGCGTCTCTCTCGCCGGAGATAGACTTTTTGCTGAGTCGTCTCCTTTTCCTCTTTTGTGTCACTTTGCATTCTTATTTATAGATTATTTAATAAATAGCTATCAATTTAATGTTATGTTTATAATTTAGGGATGTAAAGTGACTTAAATGTGCGAATAAACGTTTTTCTTTCTTTCTTTCTTTCTTTCACTTCGATATTACAAAAAAACTTGAAATATACAGGAAAGGTACAATAAAAGCGTAAATACTAGAAAGTAAAACTAAGATTAAATTATATGAATAAAATTGGGTCAAGTAAATGATGCTGACAGCGTTCCCCCTTTGTATGGCCATGGTAATGCGTTGGATAAGGTAACTGCCGGCCCTTGGGTTTTCCAGACAGTCTATTAATTATTTAGATATTATATATTTATAGGCAGTTTCTCACGTCATAAGGAAGAATGGACATTAAGCCTACCGCGCTGGTCCAGTGCGTGTTGGTGGGTCTTCAATTACCACGTTTGTTTTTCAGCAGGGTGACGTTGACTTGAGGTTCACAAGATACCTATCGATTACATAGGCCTATCGATTACATAGGCCTAACGATTATGACATAACGTAAATAAATAGTCTTTGAATGAGAATAATGTACTAATTGACAACTATTATCTAAGACCTATGGCAACAAGCAGACTACAATACGGAGCCTTATATATATAATTTTGATGAGATATATATATATATATATATCTTCAAAGATGAGCATCTCGAGTAATGCACCCCTATATAGCCTTGATGACTTGAATGTTTATATATAATAAAAGACTGGCCTGACATAATAGAGAACTATGGAAGTCGAGAAGAGGGGCCTTTGTCCAGCAATGGGACAAGACACGCTTATGAAATAACAATATATAGAATAATATGGACATTTAATTTTTTTAAGATCACATTCTACACTTGAAGGCAATAAAGGAATAACCACTACGGACATCCCTCTAAAATCTGGGAAAAAAAGGTGCGAGATATGTATTGATGGTCGCAAAGTCGGCTTTTAAAAAAGCAATTTATTTCGTCGCAACAGAGTTGTTTTATCGGAAAAAGTTATTTTATAACACTAATTATCTAATTACAAATAATTGAAATAAGGTATACATAAAAGGTTAGTACATTGTGTTAAACATAAAAATCGAATAATTATTAACATAAATAGATATGGACTCTTCATAACAAAGATTGTTCGGTTTGACAACAACATGCTTAAAAAGATGACAGTCATTGACCTACTACATGAGAATATATCATTTATATTCTACGCATATTTGTATTGAACGATCTGA